ACGATTCGTCTTTTTTTTCCAGAATCAACAAAAGCAATGATAAATATACACAAATTTTCAAATTTTTCAAATTTCTTTAGATTTTACCTCATAATTCATAATGAATATAATCTCATATTTTCATTGGCATATATCATCAATTTAATTTTATCAAATACATCAAAATTATATTTAAAAAATTTGAGAAAAAATTGATGAACAAGCTGCAAATTCTAAACAAATTGAAACGAATTTACAAGTTACTCGATTTTTTTTCGTAATGAACATAGGATGAATTGAAAAGATTCAAATGAAATTTATATGCAACTATATATTTTTTCTAAGCGCACTGAAACCATTGATGGTTAGGTTCGCTCCACTGGCTTGTGGAATGGGATAAGTTTTGCCAGAGAGTCACTTAATGATAGAAGTACAGGTGGATCGCCAGCACAAACCAGATTTTGAGGGGACAGGCCCACTTATCTCTAAATTGAACAGCAACTCACTTTGCCATTTTGTTTATTCTATACATAATTTTTTTATTATGAATTTTTTTAATAAAAATTTGTTCATAGGGGAGAAGATGCGCCACAAATCGCACCCTTCTTGCATTCTTTTAGTAAGCATCCTACCTTTCCTATTTTCTTTATTATTATATTCCTTTAAAACCTATAAAATTCCTTTGCACTTTTCATACTTGGCGATATCGACTTAAATCCTTTTGCTATAATTCACTTGTAAAATTCCGACCTGTCAATATTCTTTTGATCCCATAGCTCCTTAAATTATCACAATAAGTTAGTAACTTTGAAACTCGCTCTCACATTACTCCTAAATCATTACTTCTAAATTATACTTTAAATCAGCACGAAACTGGAATCACTCTTCCTTCAATACCTGCATTCAACATGAACAACCATCAACATTACTTTAGACTGCTACATTACTTTCTCTAGATATCTTCCGTTATATTTCTTTAAAATCTCAGTGATATTCACTTGGCGTTTCTCGCAATCTTTGCTGAGTTGTCCAAAAGCTCGTCCGAGTGAAATCGCTTATTTCTACCTAACTGCTCCATATTCAAATACATTTGTACTTTTGAATATTCCCTGGTAATCCCTTATATTCTCTTAATATTTATTTATTGGCTTTTTTGCTTGTTTATTTTTTTTGTCCCTCGCTAATCTGCGGTGTTTTCTTTTTCGTATTTTTTGCCTTCATTTTTCTATGAAGTTGGCCGGATTTTTTTTGAAGAGTTTATCATTTCTGGTTCTACTGGCCCCGATGGCTTAAATTTTGCCAGAACTTGAGTACAAATGGGTCGCCAGCACCACTTGGATTTCTGGACGATATGTTCCCGTCCGGAATAGAACCTTAGCACAGGTTTCAAAATAAAAGCAAAAACTCACCATTCTACTTGAATGAGTCTATTCTTTCTACAGGCATACTTACATATTATCTTATGCAACTATACATATATAAAATTTTCGCTGATTCAGGCTTTATTTTCATAATTTTCATAATTATTTCCATGCAACAAAATAATGCCATATGTTCAATATTGAACTCGACTGTGATGAAGAATGTAGTCAGAAAATGAAAAATAAATTCTTTACAATATTTTTGGTTAAAATTAATCGAAAGCGATGTTAAATAGCGAAGATCATTATGAAATTATCCAGTAACGATGTTCATTCCAAATTCCTCCAGCAATAAAGGCCGTTCACAATCTTTTCCGTACGATTCCATTGTTTTTCATATTATTCATATTATTTTAAATAATATTACTTAATAAATGCAAATTATTGATAACTTCTATCACTAAATGATTATCAAATGATTATTTAAAATTAAATTAAATTAAATTGTATTAAATAAAAATTATAATAAAAAAATAAAAATTGATTTGAATTGCTATCATATAAAAAGATCAAAAAGCTAAATCGTCTATTATGCCGCAGTTTAACGATAATGATATTTTTAAGTAATTTCTACTGAAATTTTCAAATGTTTCGGAATTAACAACTGTAAAAGTATGAACAAAAGAATAATAAAAAATTTTACAGATTTATAGATTGTATTGTCTACAGTCAAATACATGAATTGTTGAATTTTAACAATAAGGGATGGGAAGAACTTTGAGAGATTTTCTTCCGCAAGCTCGATCCTCAAAATTAAAGTTCTTTTCGTTCTTATCGAGGAACCGCCCAAAATCTCATCTTGCTAGTACTGCAGTTCGCTTGGTCAATAGTTTATTTAATGTTAGCGCTTAAAATATCGTTATAATACGAGTGAATGCAGTGGAGGCGGACATCCACATAACAATCGGCTGCATGTAATGGATATCACTTCTCAATCATCAAACGCCTTCACTTACCAGATTATTTTCTTTACTAATAAGATTTTCTAATATTCATGTGCGATTCTAATATTGTAGTTTTAGATAATAAAAGGGGAAAAAAAGATTTACATTTGTCAAAGAAGGAGTATTTGTTGTTGCCATAGTTCTACTGCGACAGCAATAACACTCGTCTTTCAAAAATCGGGACGATACTATCAATCTTTCTTTACTAAATGATTCTCCGACAAACATTTGTCTGATTCGCAAACTAGTAGAACGAATCTAACTGGGATTGGTAAATAATCCAGGAAAGAAAACAAATTGCAGCAACTAGGATTAATTATTGGAATTACCAATCTTACCAAATATTTGGTGAAGTTTTAAATTTTCGAAATTCCCAATTGTATCTTATCAATCTTATCAAAACATTGATACGATTTTGTTCTATATTTGAATTTTTTTTATTAAATTTTATTGTTCGAATGAACTATTTTTCGGTAGCAGATAAGCATATGAAACCTCTGAAATCTCTAAATGGAAGTGGTAATGGTAATAGTATTTTTCGCTGTCTTCGAATTACTATAAGCCTGTCGTTTCTTTAAAAAATTTATCATAATTTAATTTTATAATTTTCATGCGATTCCATATAATTTATATTCTATTTTTATTTATGTTTTATTTCACTTTATTTCATCAAAAAAATCTGCTAAACTAATTCATATTCAGCTGTTTCGAACGTTTTAATAAATTTCTGGATAAAAAACTCAATGAAAAAATTTTGAACAGTATTTTGCTGCAGGCATTTCCAATCGAGTAGAATCTGATAAATTATTTAAGCTTTGTTTTAATTTTGTAAATAAATATCGGGCTTAAATATAGAACTCACTATGATTTACATCTGTTTTCTGGAATTTTTTGTCAGGTGTTTTTTCGCTTACGATGATATAGAAATCATTTCATACATTTGTTAATCATGTCAACTTTGATTCCGTCAATTTATTTTTTTTTTTTAATCATTTATTCGTTACTTTAACTCATCATTTCTCCCTCCACTGAAAATGAAGTACCATCTGCTTCTCTCCTAAGTTATTGACAATAAAATTAATTGGAAGCTTCTTAAATCTTTTGAACTCTTATCCTGTTTTAAGAATTAAGAGAATTAAATAAAATCTGATCCACAATATTTAACTTTTGGTTTTTCTAACAGAGTAACCTATACGAAATTCTATAAGTTTGAATTGTGCTAGAGGAAATAAATTGAAGATATGGAAGTCTATTCATAAAACATAGGTTTCATTTTTTGATTTAACAACAACATTTACAACATTAACAAATAAATTGTCTATGGATCCAGTTTTCCATCGGTTTTATAATTAATTGTATTAAATATACATTATTACAAGTACATTACAAACATAACATATCCACTTCATGATATGGTGATTTTGTTGTGATTATTTTATGGTATGGTGATTGGTGGCTATGTGGTGACTATATAGTATGGCTAAGGAATTTAATACAAACAAATATTAATTTAAGATTTATGGGAGGATTTATATTTTGGGTATTATTGGGCATATATATTGGGCATTTGGAAATTGCTGTTGTAATAATCAACTAGGACGATTTGTACTGTACTGTACTCGTCCTACTTATTACCCATATCCGTTTATACATTATCACCATTTAATCTGATATTTTTTAGAAATTATTTCATTTTTATCGTAAAATATTTATGAACGGATGTTTTGGTTTTAAACAACCAACAAGCACTTGAGAGAAACCTCTCTTATTTTTAATTTACTGCTGTATTTCAATGCTGCAAGAAGAATTTCTTATTATAAAAAAGAACTGAATAAAATTTTTTTAGTATTATTATTTAGAATCATAAAGCTTTTCCGATGATATTATTCTCAGTAAAACGTCGATAATTGTCATATAAGAATATTCTTTTTTAGATGAAAAAATTTTCAGATAGAAAAAAATGGGTGTTCCAGAAGATCGGACTGAAACTGCTGAAGATCAAGAAAATAATGCCAAAGAAACAATGGGAAAAAATGCAACAGAGGAACAAAACGATGAAGTACTTATTAATATTGAAGACGATGGACTGACAAATAATAAAGTGGCTAATGGCGATGAAACTGAAGCCGAAAAGCAATCCTTTCGTAAGCCAAAATTCTTGGGTTTTTTTCACGATATTAATCTAAATTTACCCTTTCGATTCTAAAATTAATACTTGTGGAATCATTTTAAAAAAATATCTTTTCGAGATTACTGCGATTGAAATTTTTGTAGTCAACAATTTATTACACAATAGATCGATTGAAAAAAAATAGAACAAATAAATAGAACAAACAGAAATTTATGCTAAAATGAGGAATGCACCGTGGACATTTTCGTAAAATAAATGACATGTATGACGAAAAATATTCACTATAAATAAGCCATAAAAAAAGCCACATAAGTGGTATAATTCCAGGCCTTTAATGACAATAACAAATCCATTAAATTCATTCTCTCATTAATTGTCAAATTATCTGAACAAGAAATTCTGAATATTTATTTATTTACCTGCCGCAATATTTAAAATGACCTACTCGCCTTATGAATTTCATTCCATTTTTTTTTCATTTTTTTAATTTATAAACCTCTCAATTTTTCGAATTAGTTTTTAGTAATCAGCACAATTTAAAAAGACCATAAATGTTTAAATTATAATTCACGAAGCAAATTTTGTAGAAACTGCTGAAGCTGAAGAAGAAAAGTCGGTAGCACTAGAAGAAGACAGAACTGAAGATCAGGTATATTGCATAATTTGGTTATTTTGACAATAAACAAACTAAATCATCTCTACTCGTCGCTAACGTCCATTAAATTTTAACAATTCGTTGAAAATATAAGTAAATGGGAAAAAACACCTTAGAAATATCAAAAATCTCAACGATTCCATAAGAAATATTTAATTATCATGTCAGTTCTGATCCCATGGTCTTTTGTTTATAATTTTTCATAATTATTCTAGTAAAAATTATGAATAAACTGTTCAATTGTTCATATATCTTCCAATGTCGCATACTCAAGTTTAGAGTTTCAGTTTCCAGTTCAATATATTGATTTCAGGTACCAGATATTACTGGAACTGAAAATATCGATATTATGACTACATCAATGGATGAGATTGATGACCTTCCTGTAATTGAAGAAGAACAGGTTAAATTAGTTAGATTTTAAAAACTCTCTAATAACTTAATTTGAGAATGGGAATGAATTTGTACAATTTTAAGAAAATAGAAACGTTGGAAAGCGTTAATGAAGCAGAACAACCGATAACAGTTGAAGACTCGGAATTTGAAAAAAATTCTGGAGAAAGTCTACACGAATATGAAATGATTGAACCTGATGCCACCACTGAAGAACAAATTCCTACTGAAGAAATGCATGAGGAAGAAATATTAGTCGCAATTGAAAATGGGGAACAGAACGAATCTATTCCAGTTGAAATTATGACAGAGGAGGTCTTTACCAAAATTTTTCATTCATTAAAAATTATATATTAAGATTTACAAGACTTTCTTGAACTGTACTTTTCACAGTAAATAAGATACAAGTTTATGGAATAAAATATATTGATAATTTCGAAAATTGTCTTAAATATCCATTTAATTTTAGAACAAAGTGCAAAGCGATGTGCCAGTAGAAGTTGCTACAGCGGAAGAGCCTGAGCCTACTGAAAAAGTTGGTAAGGAACCTGAACCATTTGAACTAGAAGAACCGCTAACTCCAAAGCATCCGATTGAAATGGATATGGTTGATGATGATGAACAAAAACATGAAGGAGAAATCGAGGAGATTTTTACAGATGCAATATCGAACGAAGCGGCATCCACACCACAAACACCCATCGAAGGTAAGCCACTTGAAAAGCTTTTTTTAAAGAACGTATTGTAAAAATAATTAAATAATTTACTTCAGCTTCAGCGCGTAAAATCTCGAAAGGCAGAAAATTTAGCGAAATTTCAGGTAAAGAATTTTATGATTCATAGAAGTTAAATAATTTTACAAGAATTATTATTAATTACTAATAATTATTGCCGAACAACTTAGCGTTATCTTTAATTAATTTTTTTAAAAGTATTAGGAAAAAATTTGAAATTTGCAAAAAGCTTGAAATCTTGGTTCTGTTTATATGCCTATAATATATTCAATCGAATTACATAATTTCACTTTTTTTTGAGTTATTGAGTTATTTTGAGTTATTTCTTCTTTTTGTATTTTATATCAATGTCAATGGGGATAGAATGGCTCAATGGGTTGTTGCTCAATTGGGAGCGCCGTTGCTGAGGTTCGATTCCCCGCAGGAGTAGACCTGTACAAAAATCCGGGTGATGCTGGCATCTCATCTGTATTTCTATCGCCAAGGGACTCCCTGACATATTGCCCAATGCGACATGCCAGTGGAGCGAGTTTAACCCGTTTAACCAGTAATGGTGAGGACTCTAAAAAAAAAAAAATTTACAGGAACATATAGGTAAATAGTATAGTATAGTAATAGTATTATACTAAATAGCTCAAATAATCCAAAATCAGTTTAAAAAAATAAAAAAACTGGAAATGCACAGGCATATATCTATATTTTATATATATAATATATATGTCTCTATAATTCAGGAAGTATTCCTTCAACTCCTTTCTCTAGCGAGCAACCAACATCACCATTAAATGGCAAAAGGTTCCAATATTTTCCCTTTTAATCAACTATTCAATGTTTTACCACTTTCATTAAAACAATCTGTGACTTCTTTTTATCATGCTGTAATACTATTGCAAATTTCTGATCATTTGAATGTTTTTTTCTTTTTCCAGGAGATTAATCGGCTAAATTTCCTAAATTTTCAGCTTTGATGAAGAAAATTCGATACGCAAGTTTTCTAAAGGATTTGATGCAAATGGAACCACAGAGCGTAAAATTTCAAAAACATCAGATATTGATATGTCTCTTGAGAGAAAAATTTCGAAGAGTTTTACAGGTTCAGAAGCGGATAATGAACGCAAACTTTCGAAAGAAATGGATGAATTTTTAGAGCGCAAAATTTCTAAAACATCGGATATATCCTTAGAAAGGAAATTATCTAAGATTACAGGTTCAGAAGCAAGCAATGAACGCAAATTTTCACAAGAAAAAGATGAAAATTTAGGGCGAAAAATTTCGAAAAAGTCAGATGTCGATACATATATAGAAAAAAAATTTTCCCAAAACGCAAATATAGGAGCGGAAAGTGAACGCAAATTTTCACGAGAACAAGATATTTTAGACCGCAAAATTTCGAAAACGTCAGATATCGATACACCAATCGAAAGAAAATTCTCTAAAAATACAGAGGTAAGAGTGGATAGTGAACGGAAATTTTCACGAGAGGAAAATTTGGAGCGCAAATTGTCGAAAACTTCCGATATTTCTTCGGATATTCAACGACCGATTTCGAAAGATATGGAAATAGAAGAGCCTTTTAAGCGGAAAATATCAAAACAGTCTGAAGCTGAAGTAGCCATTGGACGAAAATCTTCGAGACAATCTGAAGCTTCAGAAGTTGAACGTAAAATTTCCAAGCTCTATGAAGCTGATTCTTCTATAGAGCGCAAATTATCAAGGGAAAATTCTGAAACTATTGAGCGTAAAGCCTCAAAAAGCTCTGATATTAACGTTGGCATTAATGGCGAGGCAATGAAACCGATAGATAATGCTGAACGCAAAATTTCGAAGGAATTAGATGGTGAACCTGTTGAAAGAAAAATTTCAAAAGAATCAGAAATTAGCAAAGGATTAAGTCGCAAAACTTCGAAAGGTTCGAGAGTAGAATCGGATGTTGAACGCAAAATTTCAAGAGGATTTGATATCGATGATGCGGCTGAGCCTATAAAAGCAAAGAAAACGATTAAAAAAAAGTTAATTTTTTTATGGAAAATTCAATATAGTGCGATTAATTTTAATAAGGTTTCATTTTTTCAATTTTCAGGGCCTTAATTTTTTTAATTTATCAAGTTTGCTATTAACCGAATATATTGTTTAAAGAAAATCAGTGCTCAGTGAAAATCCACCAGTTGAAGAAGCAGAGTTTACAGAATTAGAAGCAGCAGAGCAGCGTGGGGCTGAAGATCAACTCGAAAAGAGAGTTGATGAGATTGAAGAAGGAGATTTAGTTCCTCCTAAGGAGGAAGAACAACCACAAATAGAAGAAGTCTTAATTTTATAATTGACTTAAGTTTTTCAAAAAATAACCATTCCCAACCAAAAAAAACATTATTGACGAAGAAAATATATGTATAAATTCGATGAATCAATTCTCACATATTTTATTTCAGTTCACTGCGACCGTTGAGAGTGGAGATAGTTCTACAAAAACGAATGAAGCAGAAGAACTGGATATAACACGAAAGGAAGAACCAGAGATTGAAACTAGTGAGAATGAAGAGGATATAAAAATTGCTGAGGCTAAAGTTAGTTTATCACAGAATTGGAAAAAAATTACTACGGAATAAACCATTTTTCACACGAAAATTTAGGTTGACATGGAACAACGACGATCGCCTGCTATAACCCAAAGAAGAATTTCTTCCCCATCACCACCCTCACGAAAGGCTACTGCTACACGAGCTACACTACCCAGTGTTGTACATTATGATCAGGTTAAATTTGTACTGTAAATTTATATTCAGGTTAAATTTGTAAATTTATTCTGCAATCTTCATCAACGACACATATAATGCTTCATTGGAAAAAATAACGAGGAAAGATTTTTTTAGGATTCATTCCGCCAGAGAGGTCCTCCACCTCGTCTTCCTACTTACTCTTCATTTTCATCTCATACACCAGTAGAAACAGATTCTTACAAGCAAATTAGCCCATGGGTACAAAACAATGTTCATAAATATCGTAGTGAATATACTGCCATGCCGAAGTATATGCCAACTTCCACTCTTTTATCACAATTTGATGATATTGTCCGATCAGGTTTTTTTTCGCTATTAATATAAAGCGCCAAAGCATTAAAACTTGAACTTTTACAATACATCTTATCATTTTTTCTTTATAATTTTGAAATTATACACTTTTTTATTCGAATTTTTTTCCTCTGATTACAAAGTAACTCTTAAAAGAAGTAATTCAGCCGCTTAAGTTTTATTATATATAAAAATATAGGACAGGAACTTACGTGAACTTTCAGCCGGTTTTCCCCAAGGACTCGAAACTGGAAGAAAGCATGTGTCTGTAAAAATTGTATGCTAATAACAGCTAAATTCTTATGAGAATCAACATATTCCAAATAAATTTTCCTTATTTCCCATATATCTGCCCGTCAACTAGTTTTTTTGCTAAACTATGCGAACGAAAAAAGACTAAAAAAATCTTTTCTTAATTCTTCACAACTATTTTTAGGACCGTTTTCAATGAATCTTTATTCGGCTAATCGTCTTCTGGAACGCTCACGCAGCCGAACTCGAGAACGTAGAAGTGCAATGCGCTCACAGCGCTCAGCTAGCAATTATTACCGGTAATTTTCAAGAAAAATTGTAGTTTTTACATGGAACTTGTACGATTACTATTTTACATAATTAATAATTAGTTTCCTATTATTGGATATCGGAAAATTATCAAAAATTGATGGTGCCAATCTTATATAAATTATGAAAAAAATTAAAAAATTATCGAGATATTTGTGAGGACTGAATGAACAACAGATTTTTTGCAAATTTGAGCAAATCTTAAAGCCGATTTTTTGCCGTTGAATTTCTTACCTATGTTTTTTTTCTAAAATTCGTTTTACTAAAAGCAGTACAACTTACAACAGTAAAACTGTGTATATGTATAAAAATGTCATTTTTTATAAAATAGTTATTTTCTTTAAAAAGCTCCTTTCCACTGTGTATAACTATGTATCTATAAAATTGACAATTTTCCACTGTGTATAACTATGTATCTATAAAAAAATTCTATGTTTTATGATAAACTTTCCTTTATAGAAGATATTCTTATTTTATTTTATTAAAGGGAATATCTTTATGAAATTGAACTGTGAATATTATGAGTTGTTGCGTGAATTTTCAGCGAATTTTTTTAAAGATACATGTCGAATTATGCAACAGCTCCGATCCGCACTAGAGATTATTCTACCCCACCGTTATCTGCGTATAGCAGACCACCTTCACGCTCTGGATCTTTTATTTCATTTATGGAGTATAGCGGCGCGAAACAATATGAACTCTCTCGTGATGCTAGTCGTTCATCAATCTACAATGGAGCATATAATAAGTATTCAGCAATGTTTTTAATATAAATAAGTTCATTTCTCACAAAGGATGGCATGAGTTATTCTCAACTTTGGGTTTTTTACCACAGGCCTGGAAACTTATGAGTGCTGCAGTATCTTAAATATTCTTAGTAATGTTCTTTTCTGCACCTCTGATTTCCAATCACTATCATTTTGTGAATAATAGCTTCTATTGTTCTTATTATCATATATGTGCTTAAATTAGTTCAAGAAAGCTTTCTTTAGTTCGCGGTCAAACTTGGATCTTTTCTACGATTCAGGGCGTCTTTCAAGAGTTGATAGCTATGTGAAAAGTTTAGACAACCAGTATGATCGAAATATGCCCAGCAGTTATGGCATTTATCGATCAACTTCTCGTTCATATTTGCCATACGATTATAAGCCAATCAATGGATATAAGGTTTGTTTGTATTTGAACTACATTTATGAAAAATACAGAAATACTGAAAATAATGTTGGAGAATGTTAATTCTGACGCTTGAATATTCATTATCAACATAGTAACACAAAAATAACTATGAGCTATAATTATGTCCACTTATCAATTTCTTTACACATAGAAGCTCGGCTCGTTCGATTGAACGGTGAATTGACGAATTACTACTTTTTGTACAGATTTTGCTTATATCACTTTCATGAAACGATTGTTTTCTCATAATCACCATCCTAACTATTTTCAGACATATACTCCAACATATATCAACAACACTGAACCAACTCGTTTCAACAATTATGCTCAACAAATAAATAGAAATGTGCGTAGTATGTATGAGGTTCGTTCTTTTTTTATTTTTTTAAAGTTTGAATCCGTCATCTATTTTTAATATTATTAATGAAATCGGAAGAAAAGGTAAATAATTTCTCAATAACCTTCAAAAATTAAGATTGGCTAATCTATAACAGAAAAGAAGATGCATTTTTTCACTTACAAGTTTTAGCACGTTTTATGCAGTTTCTCTAACTTTTAAATAAAACTCATTAATCAAAATTTTTGCTAAATCATTATTAATCGTATATTTTCATCATTTGCTAGTGGTTTAAATAAATTCAGATCGTCCAAAATAACAAAGAACAAAAACTAAATAAGCTTTAATATTAAAGCTTCTTGCTTGCATGAATTCTCTTTCCACTCTCTTTCAGCATTTTTTGTTCTTCTATTGCCAAATATTTTTTCTATATTATTTCTGGTTTTTATTATTTCATTAGGCATGATCGCTAAATGATCCTTAGTTCGCGTCATGTGTAGTGAATTGACGAATTACTGCATTTCATGTAGGTTTCGTTATGAGCCAGTAATTCGGCGTCTGAAAGGGATAAACCTGCCATTAACAGGTGGTGTTGTGTGCCAATTTGTAAATCTATTCTCCAGAGGCTCGCCAGGGAAGCGTCTCAATTGCGTAATGACCGAAGCCAGAAATGGTGAGTGCAGTTAAAAGAAGCTAAATCTATTGGTATCTAATGCAATGAATTTTACTATTTTGTCTGTTGTTGTTTTAATCAAGCATCCATCGCCATATATATTAGGATTATAACCGATAACCAAAACTCATTCAAAAAAATTCTTGGAAGAACGCATCTTTAAAATTTCAGACAAGGATCGCCGATCTGGAGCGAAGCTTATCTCGTGAAAGATTGTCGAGAGATAGGGTTAGCGTCACATTTACTACAAACTGAATTTGTGTTCATTGAACAAAAATTAAATGACATTCTGCATTAAAGAAAGTTTTAAAATAAAGTTAGCCAAGAAATTTTTTGTCTTTTTTTTCCCATTTTACGTGCTGTTTATAATCGTTGTAACCCAATGATCATGATTTTTCAACATACATTTTTTCCACGAAATGAAGAAATTCATAAGCATATAAGCATAAATAATTGTGATGGCAGACGACGCCATATAGAATGGTATTTTAAACTTTTAGATGAAGAGCAAATACGCAGATTTATCGAATAAACTTGAACAAGCAGTTCGTCAAATGGATTTGCTACGTTCTAATTCATATTCATCTTTGCGTGCTGGAGCAGCTCGTTATTCCGTCTACGGACATTTTTATCCATACTATTAAATAGATTGATTTTAATTGCGCCTTATACAAGTTAATTTCTTATCTGCTCCATCATTTTTGCTTCAACTTTATTCATTTCCTTTATAAGCTCTATATTTCCTTAGTTTATTCGCCCAGCTATAATTATAAAACGCATGATAATTATTACGTTTTATTTGCATGCTTGTCAGTTTCCGGAATTAATTGTCTTAAAAAAGTCCTTTGCGAAAAGTCGTTTTAATGAAGCAAGAATGTAAGGAAATTTCGCTATGGAAATTGTCTAATATTTACTTTAAGCTGAAATGTAACAAAAATGAATTTATCCATTTCAAGATGTTGCTTGCTTTTTTATTATTTTGATAATAATAATGATAATAATGCGAAAATTTTCAAATTACTGTCTATAAATTAAACTTATAAATTAAAATTTGAAAAATGGAAAATTTAGAGATTTTTACCAATTTGATCAACGTAGAAAATTCGATAAATTTCATTCGAAATTCATTAGTTTCATTAGATGATTATTGCCTCGTTTGTGCCTTGCAACTTTAATTTTGTTAATTTCGTAGGATTTCAGCATTTTCCCTAGCATGACTTCATTTCTTTATTACATAAATATTTGTGCTAATCTCTTTTCGTTCTCCCTTATTAAATTTCCATTACAAATTTATACCTTCCACCTCAGCTTATAATAGTTGGAATTTTAGTGTTCGATTCTAGAATTTGTTTCAGCGGGCAGCAAATCTGCCGTTGGCAAATATAACAACACAGCTAAGCGCCTATAATCTCGCTCGTCTAAATCTCAGATTCTCTCGTGATGAAATCGGTGTTTAAAAAATCTACAGCATTACACGTCTCGTTTTCTCGATTTTTTTTCCGAAATCTAATATTTTCTAATAAAATTTACTGTGCGCAGTTCGTCATATTCGTAACATTTGTACTGCGTCAAATTGCTTATATTAGTTGGGTCGCACGTTGAATTAATTCAATAAATATTCAAATATTATTGTTGATACGAATAACTTTAAAATTCAGAACTGTGATCATTTTTAAATATAACGAAGTTTTTTTTATATGAACGTATCGATAACTTTTCGTGAAACATTTAAATATAGTTGCAACAATCTCAATGCGCCATTTGTTCAGCGATATACGAGTAACAGCAAAATTTTGTAGCAAAATTCCATTCAAATACAAAATTATTATAGAATGTTATTAGAAAATTATTATAGAATGACAATGTTAGTTCTCTTTAGTAAAATTTGGATAGATTTATGTTTTTGTATAATCTTCAGAAACTTTATCGCTTTTTTCGATATTAAAATTTGTTTTTCACTGAATTTTTCCCCTGTTTTCTGTTTATTCTTATGAATATTTATTTTTATTAGATGAAACATGAAAAGTCGATTTTGCTATTTTCAATAATAAAAATTTAATGGTCGAATAAATAATATTTTATTCACTTTGTTGTTGTTGGTCATTATGAAATCAAGAAGCATTTCTTTAAAGTATTTTTTATGCAACAATAATTATTTATTACCGAATAATTGAAAATTATTAAATTAAGTGACATAAAAAAAGGAGAAAATTTAGTGGATGATAACGATGAGTGACAAAAGATGCGCATTGGCTTGATTAAAATGTGAAAAAAGAAAGCTGCTGCTTCTATAAAAATTTTAGCATTCATTTTTTCAGCTATTCACATCTTAAATCCTTCATTTTTCAATTTTTTTTCCTTAGTCCGAAATTTATCAAAATTTTTCAAAATTTTCGTAAAATTTTTAAGCTAAATTTTGAAGCCAGTTTAGTGAAATTTACTTTCGTCATTCGATAATCTTTTCAATAAATTAAAGAAATTCCAATTTAGTCAATTTCGTTATTAATCGGCTCGCTTATATTGTAGGATCATTTACAAGTATTTTAAGTTATGGCCAATAGTCTCTAGTGATTCCTAAATTGAATTGCACAAGTTTAATTCAATTTTATCTTTTCATTTTAGTGAAATATTTTGAAAATCCTCTTCACTTTATTTTTTTTCGTACTGAAACTCTAATAGCTTTATTCGTCCTAAAATGGATTATAAAACTTTTTTATTTTTAAATCTGCCAATTTGCTTAATGTTTTTTATTGTTTTTCTACTTATTATATAGGTTTTTCATCTTCCTATTCTATTTGCATTAAATTATAATTGTAATAATTATAGCCTTTAATAATATTTCACTAATCTGTGGTTAATCAGCGATGAAATTTTGAAATCTGAGTGAAATATCTGATTTGCATTTTTGCATTGCAAAAAGTTGAAATTATTTTACTTTTTATTAAAAGTTTTTTAAATTTTTACATGACAAGTTTTTCAGAAAAATTTTTGCGAGTGAATTTCTTGAAGAAGATGTGCATTAATTAATAAATGAGAAATTTTTCTTCCGATATTTCTTCCAATATAAATATCGATTTTATTAGATTTTATTTATTTTTAAATCGAAACTAATAATTAATAATCTAAATTTGCGATAAGAATTTACTCAAGAAAAACACGCATTTCCTTTATTTATTTCTCTAGGTAGGCGTTTATATTATAATTGGTCCTTAGCTCCTCTGCTTTCAATAATTACATTAAACAAACATTTAATTTATATTATCATATGTTATTGGAAAAAATGATAAAATGATAAAAGTACTTGCAAAATTACCATTCGAAAACTGCAGGCTTACAAAATGCTTAATCTAGCTGTTCCGATTGTCCGTTATACTTGCAAATTTTCGTTTAAAATTATAGTTAGCTCGATTAATTTAAGTCGAACGAATATTTTTCCAACTAATTCATCATTAACCTCAGAATTTCTAAATAATTGTCGCAACTAGGCGAATATAAAATGAGCCACTGGGATTGTCGACTGAAGAAACTATTATAGAAATAATGTTTAATAAACGCACTGAAGAAATTCAATTCATTAAGAGAAAATTCTCTTTGAAAAATTATGCTTGAAAGAATAACTGCATTTATCATTAATTAAAAATTTTAATTAACATAAAAAGCGAAAAAACATCTGAAATGCAATTCAGTTGTCAGTGATTTTATAGAAATAATAATGATTTTATCACACATCAATTTATTGAGAATTTTTTCGGAAAAACAATTCAAAAAAATGGGGGATATATTTGACCAAATATGAAGCTCGCTGATATCACCGAAATTATAGCTCGTGATAAGAAAAAAGCTGGAACCGATCATTTCCTGACTTAAAGCTTCTTTCATTAAGCAATTCGCTTTTATTGTCTTAATACTTGTAAGATAATGCAAGATGTCTTTGATATCTATAAAAATCGGAACAGATGTTTAGCATTTTTAGCTTTTCAGCATGAAGAAATTATAGGGCATTTTTTTTTGCTGATTTATCAGCTTTCCAGATTTCTATGAAAAATATTTTCTTTTTGTAAATTTTGGGAGAAAAATATGTTTTACAAGATCTATACTTGTAAATTTTTGCACATCGTAATTTTATGTTTTTTCACTTTAAGCACTTTTTAAAAGATAGCAAGGATAAGGGTTTTTTCTATAAAATAATGATAGGCAATTCTTAAATGGATTGTGACATACGTTAAATATGTTTTCAAGGCATGATTTAATATAATTAATCCTGATATTACGATAACTAAAAGGCGTTTGCGATCTTATATCATTTATTTTTCATTCTTGTACTTTTTTTGCGTCATCGCTTTTTCAATAAAATTGGACTTTTACCAAAAGCGAGGCCTCATTCATTTAGTACCAAAGTAATGCAAACAGCACTAAAAAAAATTAATCCTTTTTTCAATACTAAATATTTTAATTTTTTTCTATGACTGTTCACTAATTAAATCCAACCGATCATTTTTTAAATATTTCTAAAAAAAATTCTATAAAGCTTAACGAATTCTTTTTAGCAAATGAATTTTTAATCTATTTCTAATCTATCTTTCATTTTTCAATTTTCTACTTTTTTTATTTTTCTATTTTGCTTTTATTTTATAATTTATTATATATGAAAATTATTTTTCGTTACAACTGCATTTGTTATCTTTTAATTAAATTTTTATACTATCACGAATTGAAATTTTATGAATTGAAAAGTTTTTTTTTGTTTTTTATTAAAATTTTTAAAATATTAGATTCATTTATTATTAAATGGTTATAATAAAAGGAATTTTTTGTTTTTACATTTATATAAATTGAATGAGAATTAAATTTCTCAATAAAATTCCTATACTCAGTAAAATTTGGCAATTCTCGACGATATTTGCTGTTATCAGAAAAATAAAAATGAAAAAATATTATTTTTCATTTTTAAAATATATAAGAAAATAAAAAAATTTAAAAAAAAAAATAAAAAGAACGATATTTATAGAAGGATCGTTATCGTTATTTAGCGATGATTTACGTGGCGGAAAATTACGACAGAGAGAAAAGCCGAGAACTGTCTGATAATTGAAGATAAGGACAGACAGATTATCAAAAATTTTGTGATATGTAAGGCTATAAAGAAGTTGGTTTCGTTGATATGACAGTTAATTTCCCTATGGAATTGTATGTCTACGAGTAAAAAAAAAAAGTTGTATGATGGGAATATTTACCAAGTTTTTTGAAACGATCTTCAAATTTAATAAGTGCCATAAAAAAAAATATTAATGCACCAGAAGAGTGGAGATAATTTGTCAAATCATATTTCGTCAGCACCGCAAGAGCAGTATTGTTCAGTGATATTATGTTGTTAGTTTTCATCAACTTCCGGTTAGGTTCGATTTGCTGTTTGGCAAAAAAATTTTCACCAGGAAATCATTTGGCTATGGGGCAACTGGTGGGTCGTTAGCACCACTCAGATTTTTTAGTCTGGTCGGAGGCAGGATCAAAGCCATTTGACGGTAAAAATGATAATCTTAGCAACAACTATTTGGCTAATCTTACTGCATTCGAGATCAAATTCAACTCCATTCCTTTTGCTTGATTGGTGCAAACTTGTTGTTAAAAACAAAGTATAATGTTACTGTGGATTCATCTTTACGTCTAGCTCCTGTGCGAATGGCTCTTTGGTTTCCTCTAACCAAATGGTGCATGATACTAAAGAAGAACTTTATAGGTTAACACTCAATTTTTTATAAATAAAATAAAAACATCACTTTTTATCAGTGTTGCAAATATTTCGCTTGGTGGCGATAAAATCGTTTGTGACAACCTTCAAAAACCAACTCCAAAACTCTAATTATGAATAATTTCGTATACTTTTTCCGCTAACAACTTCTCTGAAACTTTTTTAACTTTTTTTTGATTAAATTTGTTGATTGATTTTTTCAAATAAATATCGTACATTATAATATAATAATAAATAAAAATAAAAGTTTTTAGTGCGAAAAAACCGTAAAAACTGGGCAATCACTTCCTTGAATCATGACACATTTGCCTGCTTGCATTTTAATTAACTTCATCAGTTTTTATGCACTCTCTTCTGGGTCAGAGGCCATTACGAATTCGAATGTAAGTTTACTGCTAACTCGATATTAAAGTTTAAATGCATTCATAATTTCTCACTTTTAAAGCAAATACAGCTGGAAAATTTTAAAGAAAAAAATGATAGTTTTAAATAAATAAAGCAATTTTTGCTAGTAGCCAAATCGATCTTTTCTGTCAAAAAACTTTTCTTTTCGAAAATAATCAAAATTTCGAAAATCTTATTTTATATGGAATTTGCATAATCAGTTTTATTCGAGCATTGCAAAGTTGTGCTTATGTAAATCACAAATCTCGAATTATTGAAATTTAAAGGTAGGCAAGGAAATGGTCAACTTTCCCTATAAGTTGATTTGGGGTATTTTATGAATTTTTTAGTTGATGTCAAATTTGCAAAAACAATATTTTAAAATTTTCATATAATTTTATTAATATATTATAGGAAGACACTGGCAGAAATATTTTTCCAATCGCTTTCGAAAAAACATACCCAGAGGTGAGTGAAATATTAAAAATTTCTAGGATGAATTTTCTCCGAAGAAGAAATTATTCCCAATTAAACGCTGAATTCATCACATTGCACTGAAAAAAACCTTGAGAAACAAATCTAAAAAAAAATAGTAAACTGTGGTTCTGCCAGAAAATGTCACCACAACCAAAGGGCTATTTGTGAAAAGCTATAAGCTTAGTGCAGACAATAAAAGCAAACCACTGAAAATTTAATCAGCCCATAGAGAGATACTTGATCGAATCTGATAGAAAATAATTTATAATATTATCAACAAAATTCTAGAAATTTAATTTAGAAACTGATTTGATCATTTAGCACTTCCATTCTCGCATTCAGTTTATCGAATATCGTAATGTTTTTGCAGGAAAAACGCATTGATACCGATGCTTTTCGACTTAGCTTTGGAAAAAAATCTAAAATAGTCGGAGTACATTTTTATTATTTAATTTAAGTATATCAACTGAAAATTTTGTAAATGAAAATAATAAAAAAATTCATCGCTTCGAAATCCATAAAAGTGAAAAATTATTTTATTTTTTTCGACATTATTTTTTTTAAAATGGATTAAGGTTTTTTGAGAATTTCTTCATTAATATATTAATAAAAAAAAATTTAGTTTTCAAAATTTCAAAATATTCATTGCAAATCATGTTTTCATTGCAAAATATAGGTTGATAGCAGCGATGATGCAGTGGAAAGCCAGGAGTTGAGTTATGATGCAATGAAACGAATAATGCACCTTTTATCACTAAAAAAGGAAATTTATAATGAGGCTGGTTCCTTTCAAAGTTTTTAAATGATAAATAAATTTTAAATCTTATTAAATGTATTTAGGGTTTTGCAAATAATACATAAAGAAATGCAAAGAATAAGGGGAAAGTGAAAAATTAAAGAAAATCCTCGCTACGAAAGAAGGTTTTCAGTATATAAATAATGCAAATTAAGGGTACTATATACTTGTATTTGCGTGGTTTTCACGCTTTGAATTTTTAAAATTTCGGTAAATAATTCAGAAATTTGCTTAATGGATTCTTATCTTACATTGATAAATATTTTGCAGAGAATGTGACTTAAGAAAAAATTTAATTTTGTTTCAGTTTCCTTTTTTTTCTTTTGTTCATAAAACTGATTTGTGTCCACAGTAATCAAAATACTTTGAAAAAATATATCAAAAAAATCCAATTTAATTTCAAAACATTTATTGCAGGCATTAAAGAGAAGAGCTTTAGCTCTAATGCGCAAACGAATGGACGAAAAACATTATTTTATAAATTTTGGCAAATGATAACTTCAAAAGGTTGTCAAAAAAAGAAAGGTTCGAAACCGAGAATCGAAATTAGGATAAAAGCGATTTGAATTTCTCAATTAACTTTATTCCGCTACCAATCATCAACATTTTTGAAACCAAATTATTGCAATTTCAATTTTTTTGTCTTAAAATTCATGCGAAATTTTCCTCTTTCATTGTTTTAAACCAAAATCAAAAGCCAAAAAAATGCATGAAATTTATAAACTATTCTATGAGAGTTTTACAAGATTAAAAAAGAATTCAAATTTATTTATTCAAATACAAAAGCCAAGCATAGAAGCGTTCAAATAAAAACTATTCGCATAAATATTCGCTTTTCGAGAGATAAAATGTAAAAAAATATTTGTCAACACTTAAGGAAAATTTGAAAAAAAGAAAGCATGAAATCTAATAAACAAAATTATAGAATAAAACCAATTTGCTCAATAAATTCTGATACAATTCATTGGAATAAAGAATTATTAAAGAAATTAAAAACGATTAAATTCTAAATTTGCTAGAAATTATTTATATAATTATCAAGGCCGTGAAAAAATTTAAATGGACAAGTTGGAATTCCAACGTGTTAATCGTCTATCGCCTTGAGCAACACGATGATTTTGGTAGCTTCCTCGATAATATCACACTTGTGCCTTTGATTTCAACGTCTTCTGTTGCCATTAACTCTCTAAATTGAAGGATAATATTGGTAATTATATGATAAAATAAGAAATATAAAATACCTGGTCAAATAAAGTAATGCTTCATCTATATTTGCACCGTTTAACGCGCTGCATTCAGTAAAAAGCACTCCCATAGCCTAAATGAAAAAATTTTAATTAATTAAGGTGATTTTTAAAAACCCTTTTCAAAAGTACGGAGCTTCTCTTGAAATTTTTAAATAATTTTTCTTTTTGTTTAATCTGTTTGAATTTCGCAATGAATATTTTATAATATTTGAATAAGAAATTGAAATATTATTATTTCGTAATAATATCATATCATAATAATATTATTCAATTGATGAAATGATTAACGCTTAGTGTTTTTGGTTATTTTTTGGTTATTTTATTGGTCATAAGTATGGCCGCCAGTTAGAAATTTTTGTCAAGTCACTTGGCGATAAAAATACAAATGAATGGCCAGTGCCACACAAAATTTTCAATGACAGAGGCTCACTGTCATGTTGGTAAAATTCTACAAGGGAAGAAATCCAAAGAAATTAATAATCGTGCTCAACAAGAAATAATCGAACGCTAATCGTAAGTTTATAAAAACTAAACTGAATTTCATCATTCCAAGTCAAATAATTTTTCTCACATAGCAGTCACAGAACCAGTGAATTTACTAATATGCACATGAATTAATTTTTTAGTTCAATAATTTATAATTACAACAAGGAAATAATTTATATAAGCGAAATCTCACAGCAGCAGTAGCAGATCCGTCTTCTGTAGAAACGTGATTTCGACGTTCGTTCGCGCCAGTTTTATTGTCTCGTAAATCTATTTTGTTGGCGCAAACCATAATTGGTATAATTCTTGGAGTCGATTCCTGAAAATAAGCATTAAAAAATTGGTATTGATATTAATAAAAATTGATTGAAATAAATTCTAAAATACTGAATACCTTTATTGTATCAATCCATTCTCGCACTCTAAGAAATGACTGTTCATTCATACAGTCATAAACAAGAATAGCACCGTCGGCTCTTCGGAAATAACTTTTACATAAACTTCGAAATCTAAAATTTGGAATTTCCAATTTTTTAAATTCAGTATTTAATAAAAATTTATGTTTTTATTTCAATGATAATTAATTCCAAAAAAAACAAATTTATTAAAATAATTTAAAATAAATAATTTGTTAAAATAATTTGTTAAGTCGTTTTTTTATGAAAAAATTTACCATCATTAAACTAGAAATTTTCGCCATTTTTTAGGCCAAATTTTAGCACGCTTGTTTATTATTTTTAAAAATTTTTTCAGCCATAAAAAACGATTGAAAACAATGAAACATAGAAAAAAAATGGTAAAAAAATTTAATGAAGAAAAGAGAAAAAGAAACAGATAGTCCAGTGGAAATGGGGATAGAATGGCTCAGTGGGTTGTTGCTCAATTGGGAGCGCTGCTGAGGTTCGATTCCCTGCAGGAGTAAATCTGTACAAAAATCTAGGTGATGCTGTCGAGTCACCTGCATTTCTATCTCCAAGGGACTCCCTGGCATATTGCTCAATTGCGACAAGGTAGTGAAGCGGTTTAACCAGTGATGGTCTCTTTCAAAAAAAAGTAGAACTCTTCAAAAGAAGTAGAGGACTCTTCAAAAAAAAAGTCCGATGGCAATAATCCGCTAGAAAGTCACCATACCTCTTTCGTTCTCCGCGAGGAAACTAGGTCCAAGCTGAAATCTAAGTTTGAGGCGTAAAAAGGAATGGCTTTGGCAAGATGAATGCCGCGGGATGTCCGATATTCAGCGAGTTTGATGAAACTTTACCTCTCTTGTCCGGCTGTATCCCAGAGCTGAATAGCAACATTTTTCTCGTCGATTCTTGCAGTTTTTATATGAAAATCAACTCCTGAATGAAGAAGATGAAATTAATGGCACATAATAGGCATAGGCAAAATAATTTTTTCACTCGTACATGCATTATTATTTGAAATTCTTTGAAAAAAATCTTTGTTTAAAAAATCTTTCGGTGGTTAGTTCGCAATATTTCTGGCTAGGCCCTCGCTGTATTACATGTTAGCAAAGTAAATTTTTGCCAGGTAATCAATTAAGGATAGAAGAATGAGTACACATCAATCGGCATTCGTTACTTTTGTATTCTTTTAGGTACTTATTTATTTATATTTCTATTTATTAATATATATTTAAGTTCGTTGAAAAATTTGAATTCGTTGAAAAGATGATAGGAAACAAAAAAACAACCGCATTGATGGTCAAAATGCTTCGAAGTCAAGAAACATGGATCCGACGACAAAATTACCATTAAAAGCACAGTACGAAAAGTAGCAAAGTTCAACCAGTATATCACCAATTGATCTGGCGAAAGTTTCGCTAGTAGCGAATGGGGCCACAAAAAATGGCCCCAAATGACTAATATAGAAGTAGAAGAAGGGGAAAAGATTGTTCAGACAAGCCACTGCTGTGGAAATATATGCGCGACGTTGCATTTACATAAAAACGGATCTGATTTATTTCAACGTTTATCCTCTTACCGAAAGTTTTAATTTCAATAGGATTTGAAAAAATAAAGTAGTATAAATCGAAACGTTTCTATTAGGTAATAATATTAGGCATGAAAGCATAAGAAATTACGGATAAAATAAAATTAATATTTTGCTGCCTCATCTTTTAGTAATTTAAAAATATGCGGATTACCATGCGTAATGGTTGAAAAAATAGAAAAAAAGCTGAAAGCCAAATTAGGAAGATTTACATTTATAAATTTTCCTCTCTATCTTTATTATTCAGCCAGAATAATTCCTCAAATTATTTCATTAGAAAATTATTTTTACTTAAATCTTGCCAACCTAAAGTGCTAGGAAGATTCGTACAAAAGATTCCTTTAACAATTCGCATAACGATTGATGATTTACCAACAGAGGCATCGCCACACATCACTACACGAAATGTTCTTTCAGGTGGCCCATTAGCCTCATCAAATGCCTTAACAAATAAAAAAACTCTTCAAATATTGTATTCAAATTAATTTAACATAAATTAAACACAAGAATTTACTTTGGAAAATGGTTAATTTATGAAATGATTAAGAAAAAAAGTTCCAAAAAAACTATGGAAAAATTGTTCTTATTATTTTCTTAACCGATTTGTCAAAATTATGAAAAATATTTCTTATAAATTTGAAATCTTTTAGAGACCAAAAAAACAAAAATGCACTGACGTCTTTTTTACTGACAATCTAGAAAATAATAAACCTTTTTTTAAATCGTTTATCTAAAGGGAATAAATTAAAAAATGCGGTAATCCAATAAATTTATAAAGAAAAAATCGAATTATTGGTGAAAATTGTTAAACGATATTCATAACTGAATAATAATATTTAACTCCTACATATATATATATATATATATAAATTTAAAAAATATGTATATGTATTTATAAATTACACCAGTGTGGACATTGGATACGGTAATGTCAGATTTTTTTGTGGTTTGAATCGATTCTCGATCACTTGAATAATATCCATCCGATCGAATTGGTGTGAAAAGTCCGCTATCTGCATTTTAGCCAGCCTTTCATTTAGTTACACTATTAATATGCAAAATATGTATATCTACTCTCAAGATCTGCATAGATAATTAATTTATAAATAATAAATTAATAATTAATTAATAATTTGGAGAAAACAAATAAACTCACTTAATTAGTTTATAAATCTTTATAAGCTATAATCAATTTTAATGTGATAATTTTATGATAATTTTGGCGCAAAAAAACCAAAAAAAAAATTATAAATTATAAAAATGCCGAAAAAGGAAAGGACTGGTTTTTTAAAATGAATTTGTGGGGAAAAAATAGTTAAAATCTTGCCTGCATCATCGTCCGTGCTAGCAGTGTTATACGTATGATTTGTATATTTCATATCATTAAATGTAGGACTAGAACCCGCTCGAGAGATTGGAGAATGGCTTCTCTAAATTTCTTTCTGCACTACTATTTTCGGTTTACTTTGGGTAAATTAATCAATCGTTGAAAAATAGTTAAAAAAATTTCATCGTAAAATGCTTCTATTATTTATTGAAATTGTGCTATTACAATTTTTTCATCATTAATAATATTGATAAAAGTTTATGTTATCAATGTTAGAAATGTTTGTTTATTATATTCAAACAATCAAATAAATCATTTAAAATAATTTTTCAAAAAAAATAATTCAAATTTGAGATTTTCTTCTATTTTAGAAATATTTTATTTGATTTTTTGTTCATTTTGTAAATGAATTGAAAATATTCGAAAATTCTGAAATTAAAATTAGTTAAAAAATATGGATAATATATCACCAAATCGAGTTGCCTGAAGGCGAAAGCCCGTTGTTCAAGAGCTTCTCGAAGACTATCATTTGTATCATGTAACTTTTTATTTGCATCACTAAAAACGATTTTTTATAAGTCTATTTATATTTTATTTCATATTGAACTGCAGTCTATGAGAATACTTTTAGTTGCTGAAAGATGCCTTCAACTTTTTTATATTCTGATATTGGGTACATCGGTGACTTAGTGGTAAGATAATTGCTATCGAAAATCAAAAATAGCGGATTCGAATCCGGTCGACGCACCATTGGATGGTAATATCGCCAAATAACAAAAGTAAAAAAAATAACATAATGTTGTTGCTCAATTTGAAGCGCCAGTGCTAAAATTACGTCTAAGGGGAATAAATCCGACTCGTGCTAACGCTCGCCTATACTTCTATAGAAAAAAAATGACTCCATGGCAAATTTTTTCTGGTCTGGAAAGCACAGCGCCCCGCGCCTAATTAGTAATGTTGAATGCTCTTAACAAGAAGTCAAAAAATATGCATTAAGTCTGACACATAATGTATTATCCTTTAAAATCTTATTAAATATTCTATTTATTTTAACGATTATTCATTTTTTTTTTCTCAGTTTTTCTAAATATGATAACTTACTAAAGTAGTTGCAACTGCCTTTGAAGGTTCTCGGTTTTTTTTGCAGTTTGCATCATTACTTCGCTATCACTAAGCATTTCTTCTTTTTTTGTTTCATAATCAGCTTTCACTGAAGCCAATTCTGATTTTATTACAGCCAATTCTAAATGCGAGTCTGCCAAATTTGATTTGAGACTTTGATTTTCCATTGCTAAAGCCTGAAGTTTTAGAATTTAGCATTTCATTATATTCGTTATATAAAAGTATATCAACCAGAATATCAAACTATTTTTCTAAATTATTAAAAAAAAGTAATTATATTGCATTTAAATCTTTGGCAATGAATTAAAATTTTATGATAAAAAGGAATTTAAACCGGAAAATCATTGGATTTGAAAATTTGAAATCCTTAACAAATAAAAAAATCAATCATTGCTTTTATTATTCAAAAAAATTTTTTGTTAAAACTTTAAATATTATAAAATGAATAATCGTAAGAAAAAGGTTTTGATAAGAATGGGAAAATGATTTTGGAAAGATTGCAAGAAAGATTATTCTTCAAAGATTTTCCCGAAAAGGCCACAGAAATATTTAGGTTATCTATTTAGGTTACTTATCTAAAACTATACGAAAGTAATCCCTCCCAAAAATCTTACATTTAACTTTTCACGTAATTGCGTAGTTTGACCTTCTTTTTCACTTTCTTTTTTAAGCATTTTCTCAAATTTTTCCATTCGAGCAATATTCTGCTTCAACTCTTCTAATTCATTTTCCATACGAAGACGCATTTCTTCCTTTTCTTGTGCCAATTTTTTCGCTTCCTGAATGTCCTTACTTTTTTTTTCCTCATTAAATAGTTAAAGGCCAATCAACTTCTTAGGTATAATTTGCTGTGCTTAAATTTGTTTTATCCAATCGCCTAGAAATTGAATTTAAAAAGAGCAACAAAAACTAACCTCTTCTCTTACTTTTCGTTCGGTATATGCAATTTGTTGATCTATTTCATTTTCAACTTCTTGCATTCTTCGATTATACGACTCTCGTTCACTTAATAATTTCAATTTCTTATTTATTTAGCAGCAAATATGAAGAGGACTTTCTAAACCTTTGTACCTATATAAGACTAGAGGAAAATGTTAAGATTTTCACTAGGCATAAAACAATTTTAGATGCTGTGTTCGCTAATCCTACTTCTCTTGTTGATAGCCTTGGAACCTTTTTGTAATAGTGATATCACAATATCATTCATGTTTCATTAAAATTAGATCGTTATGTACCTCCTTCGAAATATTCTAGAAATTACCGTTATTGTGATTATGAAATCTTTAATTTTATCCTCGTAGAAATAAACTGAGATTTCTTATTTTGTTTAACTCTCTCTATTGATGAAAAAGTTAATTTTCTTAATAGCATCCTTTTGTATCTTATAGTGCCTTTAAGGAAAAAAAGCTTTAGGTTGATTCCCATTTATTTAAAATCTCTTTAAAAAAGTGTCACGAAGCTTTATAATAAATACAAATTAACCAAATTAGCAGCAAATTTGAAGAGGACTTTCTAAACTTTTGTACCTATATAAGACTAGAGGAAAATGTTAAGATTTTCACTAGGTATAAAACAATTTTAGAGACAAGTGACTTCTCTGCATATAAAGAATGTTTAAGAAGTTTTTGTAGTGCCATTCATAATTATTTTCAAGTAAAGAAGAGCAACTTTTAAATATAATAGAAATTATTTCTGGACCTATATCAAAAGAAAATTTGCATATCCACATAAACAATTTGCAACATAATGATAATATGATCCCCTTTGATATTGATATTGTGAATGTATTTAATCCACACTTTTCTAGTGTATTTGTTGACGATAATACTCATGCTTCTTGTTTAACGTAAATCGAATTTATTTCACTTCTCTCTATGACGTTGAAATAAGTTAGTGGATTATATGATGCCTTAAATATACTTAAGTCGTCCATTTCAGTTGATCCCGTCAATTTTCTACAAATAATTTATAAAAAATGTCTCTCTGAATTTTCCCCTATTTTTAATTTATAAGGATATTATAAAATCTGGCTTTAATCGCAAACTTTGGAAATTGTCTCATATAATTCCCATTCATAAAAAAGGAAGCACCTATGACCCTTCTAATTGCAGATCCATTAGCCTAACATGCATTAGTAGCAAGATGCTGGAAAGGTTGATTTGAAATAAACTGTTTACTTACCTTGATGCTAATAATTTCATTTTGTCCTATCAGCATGGGTTTTTGTACGAAAAAATCTACTTCTTCAAATTTGGCAAATTTTTCCAACATGACACCTGTTAAATCTGGTGTTTCCCGAGGTTATTGCACTGCGCCATTGCTTTCTCTATTATATATAAATAATATCACCAAAGTGATACTAAGTTCTATCATTTATCTTTGTGCTGACGATTGTAAAATTTGTTATTCTCATGGTAAAACAGGTTCTCCACTGCAAGAGGATCTCAACAAAGGTTTCGATTTCTAATCTTTTAATTAATAGTAATATAATCAGAAGAGTCTCACACATTTCCGATCTTGGAATAATCATGGATGAAAATCTCGATTTCGACTTTCACTATAGAACCACAGTAAAGAAATCTTCAAAGATACTAAATATTGTTTTTCGTTCGTTTAAGAACAAAATTAAAGAATTTCTTATCAAAATGTTTAAGGCGTTCGTTCGTCCACTTCTTGACTACAATACTATGTATTACTCCACCGAGATATCGCATATCAAGTAAAATAATTGAAGGACTCCAAAAATATTTTATACGAGGCCTCACGATTGCAAAATTATAAAAGAAAACTTCTACAATAAATTAATTTTAATTTTAACTTCTTAAATTCCCTCTCAATTCGTCGAATTTAATTTATGCCTAATTTAATTTAATTTAAACAAAATACTAAATTTTATTATTTGTCCTTTTTTTAAATATTAGTACAAGCACATGGCGTTGTCGCCTTTTGGCTGATTTCAATAAATACATAAATTTACATATATAAATCAATTAGATTATATTAGAAGAAATAATTAATTAGAATGATTAATATTTCAGCAATAATTTGGTTTTCTAATTTTGAAGAAGAAACCTCGTAAAAATATTTTGTAGTCGTTTATTTTCTTCTTTTTGTTCTTTTACTTCTTTGCAAAAACTACCAACAACTTTTTCAAAACGATGTAACAATTCAGGCGTTCCACACAGTTGAATTTGTTCGTAGAGTTGAAGAAGATCGTCTTGGCTATACTTATATGAATTTTTATGAATTTTGAATTTTTATATGAATTTTGAAGCTTAAACTTAAATTTTTAAAGGAATTTGCTAATCAAAATTTGAGTACCAAGTTTTAAGTAAAGAACGAATAGCACTTTGTATAATTAAATTTTGGATTCATATAATTAAAATTCAATTTAAATTAAATTAAGTTTCATATGAATAATTCGAAAATTTTATTTTAATCATACTTTTATATTATTATATTATAATAATTATATTAATAATAATAATAACAATAATAATAATAATGATAATAATCCACAATTTTAATAAATTTAAATGCGATAAAAAAAGGGTACCATGGTAATGAGAGATCAAATTTTAATGCTTCTGGATCGGAATTGAAAACATCTTCATTTGGTTTTTTTCGCCGACGCGATGTGTCTTCGCTCTAAAAAGCATTCAGGCAATGTATCAGAATTTCAATAGAAGAAAAAAGAAATTCAAATGGAACATGACAACTTATTTACCGTCAATTTACCGTTCTGTAAATTTTTTTTAAGTTCTTTATTTTCGATTTAATGGGTCTGCCAGCAAATTAGTCGCAACATAGGATAATCTATTGCGATCCTACATTTATGAGTTATGAGTTAAGTAAACAGTTAACAGTTATATAGTATAGTATAGTATAATATAGTATTGTATATAATTCACACGTTTCTCGGGATCGAACAGTTACAAAAAGACATGACTATATGTCCGAATCACAGGTTCACAGGAATTGATATTTTTCCTTCATCTAATTCTTCAGCACTGTCGGCACTGATAATTAAAGGAAAAAAGATTATGTTAATCTAACGTGCAATAATTTCACTTGGTAAATTGTTAACATAAAACGTCTTTTCAAATGTCTTAAAAAAACTTTTCAATACTATTAGGACTTTGGAAGAACGGTGAAAGACGCAAGGAAAGAACTTATGGCGCAACGAGAAAATAAGGGAAATAAGGGTTATTAATATAATTACAATTATTATAATTATTAATATACAAGAATCTTATAACAATATCGAACTGTGAAGTAACAATTTATAAATAAATTTTTATATAAATTTATAAATATATCGTGATTTTATCACCAAAATAAATTGGAGAGGCTAAGAATGACTGTGGCTAATAAATATTTTAATAAAGCATCACTATTACGCCTAAACGTTTACTATGGAAAGTACTAAAGTAGGTTTTCGCGCAAATAATGTCTGAGACTTTAGCATAAATGACAAGTGTTAGGTTGGGTGCAATACTAAAATTTAACCTGATTCCTTGTTGAGAACAAGCAACAACTATGAGAGGTAAAGTTCTGCGTGACAGCTGGCTGACGAACTAAGGAATAAATTAAAGGAAAAACCCGCTAAAATTTCCCCTATTAACTTCTAAATGAGACATTCAATAAAATCTTTATCTGTTGTCCTATAAGGAAGGGCAGTTTAGGTAGGCATGAATTTTAGCCTTATTTGGAAGAAAATCATACATTAATAATTTAATAATATTGATTAAAATACTTCGGACGCTGAAATAATTTCATCGAGAAGTTTTATGTTCGATGAATTATCATTGCGCTGACAATTTGTTTCAACAATGCTAGCACGACGCATCATTCCAGGTAAACCTAACAAACGAGTTGAATAAATTTGCACAGAAAGAAAATCCATAAGCTTTCTATTTTGAAAAAGAGCACAATCTATGAATGTAAAGGCCAAAAGAAATATATATCGAAGTTAAAATATAAAGCCTGCGTTTTACCTGCGTTTTCACCCTTGCAAAGAACACTTTGAAATCCTCCCAAAAACTCTTCGCGTTCTATTCGTCCAGATCCATCCGTATCAAGAGAGGAGAATATGAATTGAATATCCTGTAAGTGGAAATTGTCTATTTGCCGAACAAATCCTTCATAATGTTGGATGTTTTGCATATTACAAGTATTACATATTATGTATATTTTTTTAAAGAGTATTCATCATTAGGCTCGCTTTGCTGTCTTGTTGGATTAGGCAAGTACGCCACGGAGTCCCTTGGCAATAGAGTACAGGTGAGTCGCCAACATCACTCGGATTTTTTGGATAGGTTTACTTTATCAGAAGTAGGATTTTGGCATCAGCATCGGGCTCCGCAACAACCCACTGAGCCATTCTGCTCTCTTTTGCTTTCCTCGTTAGGCGATGGTATCGCAAGATTAAGATTGCTAATAGGCAAATTCGAGCTCAAGCTTTGATTTTCAGTGACAACTGTCTCACCAGCGATAATGCAACATATTGCATATATTGCGCATATTAAATAAGTATTTATTGCTTAAAATAAGTATTTATTGCATAAAATAAATAGCACGAAATTCATCACAAAAATGAATTTTGTTGCCAAGCTTTGATATAAAACCTATTCAACTGCGCATCATTAATTTTTGAATCTCATTTTCGCCATGCTATGTGATTTTTAACGTTCACCTGGTCATCAAGTTGAGGGCAAACGGCTTTAAGATTATCAGGTGTTAAATATCCTTTATTTTCCTGATCGCATAATTCAAACATACGCTCTGTTTCGATCATTATTGGATCCATGATGCACTAAAATACGAAAAAAAAATCAGATCAGCTTAAACTACATTTAGAAAAAAAAGGTCAACTCAAACTACATTTTAAAAAAATAATGTGAAATAAAAAATACAATGCTTAGCTTTTACAAAAATAAATCTATAAATCTAATAAACTCATACAAATTACGAGTTATCAACTTTTATCATGGCATCATAATCACAATAATGATATGATTTCAAAGAAAAAGAAAACTAAAATTTACAAAAGACAAATAATGAATTAACATGAAAAAATAAATTAATATATTCTAAAGCGAGTGATTTTCGCATAAAATTATAAAAAATAGCAAAACAATTCTATATTAATATTAATTAAATATTGAATATTAATATTTTCGCAAATTTAGCGATCTTTTTTACCTAATTAGAAATATATTTTGATAACGAAGATCTGAAGATCTGAAGATCAGATAAGGCTTTTTGAAATCTATCAAATTAATTCCAAGCAATAAATCTTCAGCTATTTCCACAAATTTACAAGTCCCGAGTATGATATCACACAGACCTTGAATAGGCTGATGATATCATTTTTTCTACTGGCAGTCACGAAAAATTTCCAATCGATGTTAGTGATAATTGGAGAAAAAATCGTGCTTTGAATCGATATGAACTAAACTTTTTTCGTTTTATATACCAGACGTTGATAAGAAATACCTATTTCAATTATTCTTCATCACCAGATGAAAAATACCAGACATTAAATATCCTGGATCCACTCTTATAACAAATGGTCGAGCGAAAGGGTTTCCAGTCCGGAAAACCGCATCTAAAAATGAACGCTTCTTTCCTTCTTGCGGAATCATGAGCGTACATCTAGCTTGCAATGCGCCAATGGAAATGGAGGATATCAGATTATCTATATTTAATAGTTTTTGCATAAAATAATGTACATAAAATACGTCTGCCTAGCGGGTAAATTTTCCCAAGATTTCATTAAACATAAAATATGTCTGCCTAGCGGATAAATTTTCCCAAGATTTCATTAACAACCTCGTCACTAAAGCTGGTTATGCCAGGTTCCTTATCAGAAGTTTACGCATGTCTTTTTCCTACAAATACAAGTGACGGATATGCGAGAGTCGATTATGACTTGTACTGACAACTCAGGAGAGGATTCGAATGCATAGATGCATGGACTTAGATGGTAAGGGTCTCTATTTAGTAGAAATGAATATGATGTAACCACGAAGAGACTTGGAAGTACCACACTCTTATAGCTTATATCGACCTGCTGGAACCAAAAAAGATTTAAAAACTCATCAATAGATTCTTATGGATAATCTTTTCTATCTTTTGTTCTCTTTTATCAAAAAATGATCACTGTGGTTTTAGAAAATAATAACCGTTGAAAATATTTATTTTATATCTATTTATATCAATTTGATATGCTTTACGACTGACTGAATCGTTTTTGAAAATCAGATCATTCTGAATTCGTCGTATTTCATAACAGAATTGTTTACAAGTATTAAATAATTTTGGACTGAAAAATAGGAAATTTTCTAAAATTTTAAATAGTAAGGAAGAGGAAGACTGGAAAAATTTTAAATTCTCTTCCTACATATATAGTTTCCAATTTCAAATACCAATTATGAGTACCAATCAGTTAGTTTTATTTAAATCTCAATGCTTGTATTTGCATTTATATCAAATATATATCTGCAGAAATTTTCAAAAAGTTAGGAAACGGACCGAAAGATTCGGAAATGCCAGCGGTTCACATAGTTGTGACCATGCGGAGTCGACTAATGATTATGCAAAAGAGAGAATACAAATGAAAATGAGTGTAAGAAGAACTTAAATTTTTTTAATAAAACCGGAAATCTGAAAAAAAAACGCAGAAATAAAAATTATACAATTATAATAATTTCGCATATTAAACATAAGAGAAAGCGACATGATTGTATTTTTGATAAAATTATGGCAAATATGGATCGAATGCAAAAGCGAATAACAGGTAGTTTGATCGATTGGATAAATTTTTTGGTTCATGAAACAGCTGTGCAATGTGTTTTGTATAAGAAAGTTTGTCGCCTAAATTTATTTCTATATGCGATCGTAAATGATTAATAGCAAAAGTTTTTCAATTATTTTCATCGAATATTTTTATTAATTAAGCAAATTTAATTTAAATTTTTATCAAAGAAAAATTTTTATATCGAATATATCAATAATGCTTCTTATTATTTTTTGTTCGATAAAACAATTCTAATATAAAATATTTTATAATCAAATTATTTTACAATTGTACATTGTAAAGCCACACAATAAAGCTGAAAATAATCTTATTATATGGCTGCCAGCCAGAGTGGAAGTTGTTAAAAAGTTGTTTCTCTGGCCACACATGTCGATGACATTTTAGGAGTCAACCGAGTGGATAAAATCCACATCACTGCATCCACCTTCGCTCGAACACTACTTGCGTTAATCATCGCAAAGAGTCGTCGTTGTTGACGAGGGCACACTCTGCGTCGTCCACTACAAGACTTGACGCGTATTTCATTGCCCTAAACGCTGTGATGGGTCGCCAAAAACGAGGTGTTGTAATTAAAACTTGGATTGATACAGTCAGAAAAGATTCTGAAGGTATGGGGAGACCAGCGATATATGGACTTAGATGGTGGAAAAAGTAATGGCTTCTATTATTATCAGCGACGGCATCAAATCTACCAGCTTGGAAATATCGTACTCTTATAATCAGTGGAGCAAGTCTAACCAGTAATAATGAGAGCTGTTAGAAGGGGAGCTAAAAATAATGCTATTTGTCATCATATTGCAATCTGACCTTATCATTTACGGTGGAAAATATGAGAACATTACTAATTTAGAACATATCTCATAATGATCAAAGAAATAGTGCATCTCCACTTAAAAAAATGGAATAATTAATGAATTGATTGGTGCATTAATAAAAATGAATAAAAATAAAGCAACGAAAATATGAGTTGAATTTATTATCATCAGAGAGGATTAAAGCAAATTCCTCAAATACTTATCAGTAAAAGAAAATATCAGTAGATTCAAAGAAGCAAAAATTCTTCTATATTTATCGTAAAAGTAGAGTCACAAGAAAACTTTTATAATCAACTAAACTTTCATCGTTGCAACCTATTGTAAACTATATTCTGCTTCTTGAAATCAAGCCTTTCACTCTAGAAAATTCGAGGAGGATTTAGAAATCTTTTAATGTTAAACTTTTTAATAGAATGGGAAATCTCAGATTCAAGTTGGTGCGAAAAAAAATCCCAGGTTTTTTGATTATAAATATTGATTATTTTCTTGATCAATGCTATGCACGATATGAATATTCATTTAAAAAAATAGACTAATAAAAATAGAATTTCAGCAATGTTAAATCAAAAATTCCATCCCAATCATCAAAAATGGTACGATTTTTTCTACGAAACAGAACAGAAACAAACAGAAAAAAGAACGCATCAAAAATAATAAAATGAGTTTTGGAAAGTACAGAACAAATGGAGTCCACGATGATTTGCTTCTGCACTTCTCGCTTCATCGCTTTAAATTTCTGATTTTTAAATTAACCTCGAATAACTTATTTCATTTATTTCATTCTTCTGTTGAAATTTGACGTTTTTGTAGCTGTTGAAATTGAATGCGATTAGATTTAGAGCAAATGCCAAACGGTCGCAAGTTGATCATGGAGAATGCGCTATCATTATCACCACTAACCGATCCCGAATCATTTCTATTCTCAAAACGATTTCCAGCTATTCGAAATTCAATTTATTTCATTCTAATAAAAACTTCAATCGAAAACTGGTGACGCTTTAGAAAATATAATGATCTGATATTAAAAGTTCCTAAAATAATGTCATAACTCTCCGATATAGGTAGAGTTTTTTCGTTGAGAATAGTTCAGTGGGTTGTTGCTCAATTTGGAGTGCTGAGGTTCTACTCTACATAGGAGTAAAATTGTCCAAAAATCCGGATGACACTGGCGATACTCATCTGTACTTCTATCGCTAAAAGACTTCCTGACATTTTTATTTAGTATAACAGCAGAGCGAGTCCAACCACTAATGATGAGGTTTCTTTAAAAAAAAATTCATTGAGGCAAGATACAATAGAAATTCTTGCTATTTTTATACATATAGAATAATATATCTATTATTGTCAGTGCTATATCAGTTTTTAAAATTTTATTGATCTCGTCGAATTTCTAATTTTCAATTTTAACAAAGAGATTTCCTGATGCTTGAGTTGTTGAAATTCCATTAGTATTATTTATTGCTTCTTCATAACTCGGTAAATATTCATTTAATCCGACAACTGATGAATACTTTGGTGGTGGTCGTCTTACATGCATGAATAGCGCATCTGAAAATCGCTAATTATTTATAAGATTTCGAGTTTCAAGTCGATTACGACTGTTTAGCTTTGTTTGCAAGTATTAGTATTGTGCTGATAATACGTCATTTTTTGAGAATTTACGTAATGTTGTTAGAACAAATCAAAAATCATCAAAATTGTGTTCATTACATATTTTAATTTATATATTTTTTTTATTTTATAGATAAATATAATAATAATAGATCAATAATTTAAATTAATTTTTGATGAATAATTTTAAAAATAGAAAGTTAATAATTGGACTTAGATGGTGGAAAAAGTAATGGCTTCTATTATTATCAGCGACGGCATCAAATCTACCAGCTTGGAAATATCGTACTCTTATAATTTAATTTTAATCAGTCTTAAGTTTGAACGCAACCAGTTCAATCACTTGCAATTAATGTTGCTTTAAAATTCCAAAAATGGAGAAATGCTTTCAGATATCTGAGAAAAGAAAATTAGACGATGTATTGGACGAAGCTTTTCTCCACAACTGTTTCACGAGAGGTAATCACCTTTATTCTCTTTTTTTGCCTTTAAAATTACACTTTGTTCATTTTTCCTACAATGAATTTGCGAAGAGATTTTAGGTACATTTTCAATCGAAATGAATATAAGGAAAATTAAATTCTATTTAAATTCGTTCATTTTTATTGCATTCTAATTATTTAAGAAAATAAAATATTTAATACTAATAACTGCAAAAGCACAAGCGATTCACTATGAAATATCGCCGTGCAATAAAAATAATGGTGGAAAATTTTACCCATCGCGGTGATATTTCCTTGTTGGCCGTCAGAAATAGCAAACATACTATTAAAAGGTGAAATCATTGCACTCTGGAATTTAGAATCATAAATACACTAGATTTGCTAAGCCCATATTATTTAACTTAGAATTTTCGTAAAACTACTTTCAGAGATTTTCCACTTATCGTTATGAGAAATTTTATGATAACTTTCATTTTCAAATATAAAAAGTTTCAAAAGTTTCTAAAACTTTCTTTTTTTTCACCTTTTTAACTATAATGAAAAAAAATATTATTGAACTATTATATTACTGAAATATTATTGATAACGAAGAAGAATGAAGAAAATAATAATAAAAATGAATGTAACAGTAAAAATATTTAAAAAAAATGAGGAATTTTCGAATTTCGCCATAAAAATTTTCATATTTATTGTATATTGTAATGCGAATATTTTAAAATTAAAAGTAGATTAAACTAATTTGAAGTTAAATTATAGAAAATTCAAAGAACATGCAAAATAAAATACAAATATACAAAAAGAACATTTCTGAACCCTTCAAATTTTCTGTAAAAAAATATTCCTAAAAATTGTTTTTTAGCGTAGCTTTTTAGAAATTCTGATCGTTCAATTTTATTCATTTTCATTTGCCAATTTTAAAATATTTTTATCGTTGCGTGATGCAAAGCAATTGTGCGATTGACATGATGATTTTTTAAATTTCATTAAAAAATAATAGCTGCTTTTTTAAATTTTTTATTTTAGTAAACATCAAATACGCTTTCTTAATAAAATTAAAATAAAAGTTTGTTGCATCTCATTTGCGATTTAATTCAGTTGAATGTAAAATTTGTTTTTTTCTTTAAATTCGTCTTTGAAGAGTACAACAATTGTATAAAAAAGTTTTAATGACGTTTGCTTTTAATTTGTCGAAACTTTAGGAACTTCAAAACTATCATGAAAATTCTATGGATAATAGAAAGTAAACAACCTGCCTTCTCCTGTGTTGCCTAAGATTCAACAAATATTGCACAGCTTTTGAAAATAATGTGCTGAGTGTTGTACATAGAATTATTACTAAGATTGTGAGCATTCCAATTGTTATACAAATACCTATTGTTGATAAATTTTGCGCTTCATTGTTGGATGACATTATGATTTTCTATTTGTCTCCAATTCTGAAAATTCTGAAAAATTAAAAATTGAAATGTAATAGTCGAAGATGTTTTTCTTTCAAAATTAATTGGTGCGAGAAATAACGGGTCTTTTATAGGAAATGTTAGCATTTAAATGCACAAATGCAATAGCATTTTCATTATTGGAGATAAATTGAAAATTCTGAAAAATTTATGGAACAAAAGAAAAATCAAATTGTTTGATGAGTTTCAAAAAATCCTGAAATTGAAATCGCATTGAAAATCTAAATGAAAAATTATTAATTTTTACTATTTATACTATTAAGTTAACTCTTTTTTTAAAAATATTTTTCGCTTCATTCATTAATTATAATTTTAATCTCATAATTACAGCCAAAAGCCTGAAAAGTCATAAAATATGATTCGATAAAATTTGCAGAAAAAAATTAAAAAGAAATTTTAAATAATTCTCATCTATTATATAACACATTTGGAAAAAATTGTCACAAAAAGATTTCATGAGCAACTATTAGGCCAATATTGTCGTAGTTGGCCTTATAAACAGATGAGTAACGAATAAGATGAAAAAATGTGTAAAAATCCTTTTTGTAAAAATAAAAATCGCCTTTATTCATGCGGAAGACCCTATTCATTTTCTTTCTCCATGAAAAGTATTGAAGACTGTAAGCCAATAACATTTCATACTTTTTATTGTCCGCTGCAACTATAGTTCCTTTCTACCTTGGATTTATGTGTTATAAAAATCTCGATTACGATTTTTATCCTTCATAAGCTCAATTTATTGCAAATTTTCGAGTTTTTTTTTGCGTAAAATTATATATCTGAATGCATTACGTTAATGATGATTTCACTGCCAGATTTCTAATGCCATATTTTTATAAGGCATTTTAGCATAATATCGACGCAATTATCAAAGAATCGTTTCATGTAAAACTTGAAAATTGATTCGTCAGTTTCAGTAAATGAAGGCAGTCAATTCCTAAAATATTTTGTGTTCAAATGAAAGTTGCCAGCTTTAAGCAACTTTTTCGAGATTAAAATGGCTAATTTTATTGTGTCGAAAGAAACGAAAGAGAACACCAGTCATTTATTTTTACACCTTTAGTTAAACAACAAGGTATATCCGTTTCCGAGGAATCTTCCACAAGAAAACATTTTTATTAATTGCTTTTCTCATAAATACTAAAATATTTACCGGCCAAATGCTGTTTAATGATGGCGGAAATACTGCCGCTGGTGTTCATAAAGAAATTAAATTTTTTTGAGGATAAAATGAACGTAAAAATATTGAAACCAACCATAATGATATGATGAATGACCACATTTACTCCATAGAAACAAATTTTCATTTCTAACAAGCCTAAGTTGTGCAAAAAAAAGAAAAATAAAATTGAAAAACGGATATTTCCCGTATTGTCTCATAGAAATGAAAGAAAACCAGAAATCAACACGGCATACAAAAGGAAAAATTTTTACAGCGACGATAAATTTCAATATTTATATAATAGTGTTTGTTAACTTGCTCAATGCTCAAAAGCCATATCAAACTCTTTCCAGAAAACTAGTTGAGGAAGAAAATATTGTCCAGATTGATCTTCATCATCTTTTTCTTGCCTTCAAAACATTGCTTACTGAGAAAACATAAAAGTTTTCCACTTTTTGTTTCATTTTCAATATCTCACTTTAAGAATATGCAGTGATAATTGTTTTACTAAAAAATTTTCTAGTGTGCAGTAATTTAATAAATTTTATTGTGAATTAAAATCTTTACACAATTTGTTTTGAAAAATCATAAAGAAGGATCTAATGAGAGAAACATATCATATCACAGACTTCGTAAAAATCAAATAATAATTATTTGCTTTATTTAGTAACTTTTTGCAAGAAATAAATATTATATAAACACAAATATTATTATAAAATATTATCCGCCAGTTTCATTTGTCGAAATGATAAAATTAAAGCTATCATGCTGATCATGTTTCAATGTTATCTCTAAAAATTTTTTACTATAATATTATTGTACATAGGCTAATTCATTAAACAATTGCTTCTTCCACTGAAAACGAAAGTAATTCAGGGCACTTTAGCATTATCTTGCTGACCAGTTGATCCAAATATATTTTTTGCCGTTTGTTTTCAATTTTGAGCTCTAAAATGCGAGATTTTGACATTTCTTAAACGGCAATGCTATTCAATTCCTCATCATTTATATTTGTAAATGGCATATTCAATATAAATTAACCATTGATAAATAATAATAATAAAAACCAATAATAAAGTGACAACAGTGAATGAAATATAAATTCATCGGATATCTGGCAAATTTCGAATAGCCAATAAATCACTTAATGATAATCATTTCATCGTAAATGCTATTATTAAAGTACTTACCTTCGATTTGCTTCAAAAAATTATCACCGCAACTTTTTTCTTTCGATGAAAATGCTAAAAAAAAAGCGGAAAAATGGAATTTTTAAAGTGGACGGTCAACAGCCTTAAATAAATAAAACATTTGCATGAATAAATTCTTATTAATTGAATGATAAAGGAATCGATTTGAAAGAATTTCATCTGCGGCAATACTTTTGCAAAAATCATTTAAAATATTGGGTTTTAGCGGTAGCCGTAAATCCATTATAGCACTAATACTAACTGGTGTCACCTTGAAATTTAGGATAATTTTATTGGATATTAATCGAGAAGTAATCTCAATCAGAAATCTGTAATATTTCACAATTCCTATTTCTAATCCAATCAATTTTCATTAACTAATTTTCAAAATTGCATGAATTATAAATGGGAAAAGCTTTGATGAAATATCATAACGCATATATTAAAATATTTCAAAAAGTAAATTTCATTGAGTAATAAGTGAAATTAATTTGAAAAAAATGGTAAAAATTTTGAGAAATTACATCGTAAATCGGGCGAGGTTTGTACGATTCGATTTTGATATTGTTTAAGTTTCGCTCGATTGTGATTCGAGAATCTTTTTGGTTTTATTCGTTCTTTTTCATCATAAAATGTGAAATTGAAATTGCTTATTGCAGTGCCATGACTGAAATACTTAAATTTTATTCATGCAGAGGCCGAAAATGAAAAGTGTTTCGGTCGTACGACAACGCCATGCGATGAATTTATTCGAACAAATATTTATTTATTTGGCAAGTCATTAAGACTGAAAAATGGTAAATTTTGCAAGCAAACTAGCAAAAAATGGGAAATTTATTTTATCAATCAATTATCTTAATAATCAAGTTTTTAATGATTACTTTTTAGTAACAACAATGATCGGTGCTTCAATGGGAAAAAATTTCCTAGTTATTAGTTTTATTTGATTTGGTGAATGTGATATAATTTTATTAGTACAATCACAGCCAGCGATTAATACTGCGCGCAAATCATGAGCATCCATACCAAATCCAGATCCGGCAATCATGACTCGAGTTCCTAAAGTTTAAAAATATCCTGAAGATTAACCAAATGATAGTGCTTAGAAGCTAGAAAAAAAGCGTATTTTGTATTTTGGGCAAATTTCTTTTACCACCCAAAACACTTCCATGATTCGGAACCACTGAATTCACGACGCAACAGCTGCCAACATTTGAAAAATCTATTGGATCTGTATGACAAGGATTTCTCGTAGGCAAAATGATTTCTTTTGAAGCTATAAAGATTTCTGTCAAAAATTTACACTTTTCAAATATATTTATATGTTTCAAGTTATTCGATATAAGTTTCATAGTAATTATTTTTAGGCATAGTTTGCGTACAATTTGAGTTGATAACAAATTGATAACAAATAATCTTTCTTATCATTTATGTTGGTACAGGAGAAAAATTCTTAAAAAATAAGCTCTTCTCTTAAAATAATAAAAATTTTTATGCTTGGAAATGAAAAAAAAACTAACAATTATTATTATTATTATGCTTCGAACTGAAATCAACCGTATAACGATTTATGCTCGAAAACCATTTCCATTCGACGATTTGGGTATTTTTGAAATTTTCAACTAAATTTTTAATTAAATTTAGAAGCTTATTAATTTCCAATTTATTTCAAAAATATGTAAATGACCGAATTTAACTGAATTATTTCATAGCAAAATATTTTAATTGCTTTTTATATTCGACCGGTATTATATTATAAGCCGATTAAAATATTTTTCATTAAAGAAATTTTACATAAAAATTTTCTCTTTCTTAAATGATAATAAAAATTTAAAATTTTTTGTGGATTTCTTTATTAATCAAACCAATCAGTGGAATTCGTTCATTTAACCAATCGATGGATCTAAAATGGCAAAATTTACGCCATTCTGTTATTGCGCATCTATATAAAACAAATGGTTGACATTCTCTGAAAAGTAAATAAATATTTCGTTTGAGCTTTTTTAAAATTTTTTTTATAGTTATTTATTTAATTTAATTTAAGAAAAGAATTATAAGATAATTATAAGAAAATTATTAAAGAATAGTGCAATTTTTCAACTTTAAATATTTACTCGAACTTTTTCGCAAATTTTTCAACATTTCATAATAAGAAAAATTAAGTGATCATATAATGCGATAATATTTGATAAAAATTTAACTAACTTATTTTTTCTATGACTTAGAAATACTTTTGAGCTGCGTTCAGAATCGAATTCAAGTTCGGAAACTGGTAATTGGATCTCAGCAATTCGACTTGTGTCATCTCGAATCGATATATAAAATGAGACAAGATCGCTTGGAACTACACTGTATTGAAAACAATGGAATTTATTCAGCTTTAAATATTTATTTAGACGGTATTTTCTCAATTTTTTTTGAAGCAACCTTGTCAAATATTTCAAAAATAAAATGATCAATTTTTCTTAAATTTTCGATTTTTTACGGACATTCATTATTGTTAGACCTTCAAGTAAATTTATATAGTTCTAAATGAGCATTTAGAAAATAGCCATAAAATGGAATCACAGACTGACAATGATTGGATTTCGTTCCATTCGGGTTGGTAGTTCACGATTGCAGTTGTACGAAAGAATTGTCCATAAATGCCAAAAACCACATGACAAGGTCGAACTTTTTCTTTAAATAGATTCTTGTTTTATTTAAAAATCTGTTAAAAATACCAATTTAATTTTATAATGCATAAAAATTTAAAATTAAATTTAATTTGTTTAATTATTTGTTTCATAGAAATAAATAAATTGATTTATTTTTCACATATTCAGTAATCGACCATAAATTATCAAAAAAAATATAAACGAAAATAGAAATTTTTAATCCATAAAAAATTTGATAAAATGTTAAGAAAAAGCTTTAAAAAGCTGAAAAAAAAACTTACGAACCTCCTTAAAATGTGATTAACTAACCATTTTTAGTAAATAAGTTTCCCGCTGATTCAACTGAAATGAAAAATTATTTAAAGAACAACTACAACTACACTGTATTGAAAACAATGGAATTTATTCAGCTTTAAATATTTCTTTGGATGGTATTTTCTCAATTTTTTTTGAAGCAGCCTTGTCAAATATTTCAAAAATAAAATAAAATGATCAATTTTTCTTAAATTTTCGATTTTTTACGGACATTCATTTACGGAAATTATTTAAAGAATGGATGATCATATCTGAAATTAATAATCAAAGGTATAATAGTTAATAATAAATATTAATATTTAATATTAAATTTTTAATATAATAAAAAATTAGCAGTTTTAAATACTTTTATAATTGTAATAATATTTTTTAATATTTCGTTTTCAGTGCTTTTTTTATTCCTTTATATTTTTTAAATTAAAACGACAGCAACAAACTGAAAAAAGTCAGTGCTTTGATGTGGCGTTTCGATGATTGTGCTTCAGACATCTTTGAATGAATATTTTACATGTATCGATAGACTCACAACCAGTTTTAGATGGAAATAATATCTAAAAAAAGCACATAAGATCTCCAATTGATAATTCCTAAATTACCATCGAGTGAATAGAATGTTTAAAAAACGCTTTCATAAGTTGGCTTGTATAGTTTCAAATTTTTTATTAAGTTTCTTTACAATTAATTTAAATCATGTTGTTATTCATAATACTTTATAATATATTTATAAAATTATATTATGTTTATAAAATTTATGTTTATAATTTATTTATAAAATATATTATAAATAAATTATAATAAATTTAAATATTTTTTCATCGATTTTCCATAGTAAAAATTCAAATTTTTCGCTTATTTTTTTACATAACAAATCAAATCGTTTCTTATTTATTTGAATTTTTAGAAAAAATTTTTTAATTGTTTAGTGAATTTTACGAATTTATTTGCGAATAAAAGAATGTGTTTTTTTTGATTTTTCAAAAAAAATTATAAAAATAAGTTTTTTCAATAATGCAAAGATTTTTCTCATTTGAACAATAAATGAGACTTTTTGAAGAAAAATTTTTTGCTTTATTCATTTATCAATTTATATAATAAAACATGAATAAAGTCGATAAGATAAGTTGTACAATCAAATTCGAAATACGTTATGCGAAAATTCGTAAAAAGCTGGCCAAGCATAGCTTGGACTATCAGTTCAAACATTATGTTCGGTTTCTGCTCATTAACGGAAATAAATCTGATTCTAAAAGTGAAATACACATGGATTTGTTACACTTTAATTCCTAATTGATTCTCTGGAGAAATGATTCTTTTATTATATTCACCAGTGGACCCAGTGAAACCAGAAATAGTAAACGTTATCAGAAAAAGAAAATTGGGGTAAACTATAGGGACTATTGTTTAAGTTCAGACCTATAATTCTTACTAACTTCACTTTTAAAAAAAATATGCAATGTTTCTATAGATCACATGATAAAAATCTAAAAAAATTTTATTGAATTTAATTCCGATAAAAAGTGAAAAAAAATATTTTAACTCCAAGTGATCCAAGCTGTTCGTCGTAAAAGCTGCTGGATGAATAAAACATAGAGTAACATAGAATAGGAGATATAATCGAAGTCAAGTTTTTTCTTAACATCTGGTTAAATGCCTTTTCAATCACTTTTTTAAAAAGCGATCACTTTTTCTGGTTAAGACACATTTCAGTGGCTTGTCGAACCAAACGAATTTAAGGGGCAGCTTGATTCGTACAGCACCGAATTACCAGCACCGAAAAAACTCATTTTGCTCTTGCGGGGGTAGAATCTCAGCACGTGCGCACCTAATGGGAGCAACTAACTTTCAATTATTAAAAAACTTAAAATGAACATGAAAAATAGCCGTGGAATTATAAAGTGAAATTCTCGATAATACCACAAAGAATTATTTATTTAAAACAATAATTTATCGAGTGAATATTATATGGTAATAATGGTAACAATTATATGGCAATAACATTTTAACGAATATGAAAAAATTATTTGGAAAAAAGCAAACAAGCATATTGCTCGAGGTGGAAAATAACAGTGACCAATTTTGCTGGAATTCGTCAATTGCGATGTGAATCATTTGTTAAATTTTGGCAATCGTTGTCGAAATATCTGATAAGCTTTCTCTACTTGGAATTAACTTTCATTATGTGCTGATAACAAGTGAAAAACTCGTTAGCGTTCATTCATCCGACTATATCATTTTTAAAAATTCTTTAATCTAATCCACAGATGTGAATTTCCAATATTATTCAGTTTTGTGGCGAAACACAAATAAATCATTTAATATGCGAAAAGAATTTTTATTTCATAAAATAAAAATTAGAATTATCTTAATGGTTTTAAACAATATAGTAGCACTTCTAACGAAATATAAATCCTTACAACGTATATTCATTCCATGAAAAAAAAAAAAACGAAAAACATAAAGGCATATTCAAATACCGCAAGCGGAATTATTGGTTAGCCAAAAGATGTGCGAATATTTACTGATATACATGTCGAATTACGGATAAATATTTCCGAACTGTAATTGAAAACCGGTCGATAATTTAAATGACAATAATCCTCATTAAATTTCCTACTTTTTTTTATATTTTATCTATTCTGAAATAAATAAAAAAATTGTTTCTGAAGTTTCCTCGTTTACTTTTTTATTTTATAAAAATCTATAGAAAGTGATAAAAATTTTATGTGAAGAAATTCATTGGATGAACTCTACGAAATGAATTGGATAAACTCAAGTTTTTTTGATCAGAAAAACTAATTAAGCGGAATCAACTTTAAAATGATAACTATTTGATATTTGGTACTCTTTTACTGCCAAACGATGAACTCGCAACATATCTTTCAAAAGCGGCATCCAGTGATGTTTGCAATAGCAGTGATATAATCAGACGAATTTTTTGATAAGCTAGCGTTTAGCGTTTATTAGCTCGATTACATGCAAAGTTGCCTTTTTTTGCTTTTATTTGTTTTCTTAAACATTTGCAATAAAATTGCTTGTTTCGCTAGCGGTCGACCTCACCGAAGAAATAACTTTTCGTCTTAGAATCGTAGACCACCTTATCATGGAAAATTACATCAAAATGAAAAATGCATAAATCAACAAATAAAGATAATTTATATAAAAATAGTAAAAAAATTTGAGAAATATTTTATTTCGCCCATATAAAGACAATTAAAATTTTATGCCTTCTTGTTTTCAAATCAAAAGCGTTTAACCAAATAATTAATTTTTAAAAATGGAAAAGGAAAAAATAAATAAGTTTACTTTTAAAAAAATTTATTCATTGCAGAAGGCGCCATTAACTAATTAAATTTATTATATATAATATAATCTTATAAAATCCAAAAAAAACTGACATTTTATACAAATTTATTATCATTGTCATAGGAATTTTTTCAAGATGCCAGACTTTTGGAAAACTATTAATACAGTTTTTTCCATCCTTTCAAATTTTTTTCAAATTATCACTAATTTGATAAATTTCTGATTAAGAGAACAAATGGTACCATAACAACTCATATCACTTATTATTAATTATTGTGTATGAAAAAATGAAAACGTATGAATTAATGGATGGAACAATTGCACATGTTGACCTTCACAAAAATCTATAATTTTTGAGAAATATTTCTAAAATCTTTCATTTCATTTCATTTTCGACAAAATTATCATTGAACGAATTAAATATGTTCATCGATATGAAATTTTTTACTTTATTTATTTACATTAATTTTTTGTTGATTACTCTATTATTTATAAAGATAATAATTAAACAGCTAACAAATATCATATTTGTACGAACCAAAATAACGAAGATAAATCCTAAATTGCCAAACGATTAGTATAACGTTATAGCAATGAAAAAACTGCTGCAATTTTAAAAAATTCTAAGAAATTAATGGGAAAGCAATTATTTTAATTCAAAACTACAACCATTAATTTTAATACAATCGATATCGAAAGTATATGATTATAGCAAAAAAAATGAATTGCAAATGAACACAGCAAAATTCAAAAATGAATGAATCTTGGCGATTCATTTCACTATAAAGTCACAAATTTCAAAATTCAACTTTTCCGAACGAAAATCCGAAAACAAATATGTAATCCGAATTTCCTTATTAAACAACTAAATTTTTCTGAAAAAGAGAAAATTATGTAAATCTCCAAATTTCGCAGACTTTGCAAAATACATTTAAAAAAAGCAACCAAATGAAACCCGAATTTTTCAAAATTCTCAAAGGTTCTGTCAGTCTGAAGACAAATAAATGAGAAAAAAAGAGGCAAAATTATGAAAGCTAGCAATCACAGCTATTTTTTAACTTTAGCCTTTAAAAATTTAATAATAGAATTTTGAGAATTTTTTTTCCTTCCACACTTATTCAGTCACCAAAATTTCTTTATAAACTTATGTACCAATCGCTTTGAAATAACAATACAATAATCGAAGTTGATCGCACACGGCACACATACAACAAAAAAACTGCGACAACCTACTTTTTAATAAAAGAACCATCCGCATTTATCACTAATGATTCAATGATAATAACCACTAATGATAACAATGAATTATTTACAATAATTAAGGCAAAGAATGAGCTGAATGCAACTGAAAAAAAAATATTTCATTTAAACATTTAGAAACCAAAATTTATGGCTGAAAATAATGAAGAATTAATTCTACAACGAAAAAATGAAATTTTTTCTTTCAATTTTTAATTTTGTATCGAATTTTTTTAACAAAATTCGATACAAAAATTGGGAAAGAAAAAAAGAAAAAAGAAAAAAATCGCAGTAATATTACAAGAACTAAATGAATTAAAAGAGAACTAAAAAAATCAAAAAGTAAAAGTTCCCTGATAGCAATAATAAGGCAATAATAAGAAATTCGACTTACAAGGCCAAACTTCATTATAAGGTCAAAACCAGCTCAATTGCCAAAACAAAAACTACATTATCAACAAAAAAAGCGTACACTGATAAGAATTATCAATTGCGTTAGGTGATTCCATCATTTCGACGATATTATTGCAATAATGACTTTCCAGTTCCAAAAAAATTGCATAATCAGATCGCCCATCTAAAAATTTACACTCGGAAAGATAATCAATTGCAAAAATATCAATGTTTGTAAAAAAAAAAAAAATCTAACAAAAAAAAATTCATTGCTATCCGAGAATCGCTGATAATTAATGTTTCGGTAAATCACTAAAGCGCTATATTTCGCGATATTAGTGATTTTTATTGAATATCGCTGAATTATTTCCAAAATATTGAATTATATATATACGATTTTTGGTTCTTTTTTTCCTTTTTTTGTTCAAATATAATAAAATATAATAATTTAAAATTGGAAATTCCATTTTCAAATAAAATCGCCTAAATCGTATATAAGGCACGTACATTATATTTTTTTAAAAACACGCTACCCTTTCCATTGAAAAATTTCATCTGAAAAACAACTTAGAATTTTGCCAATATTTTACAAATGAAATGGTTTTTATAATTTATTTTATTTAAACCTGGAATTTTAATGTTTTCTTATTTTCTTACAATAATTTTTTTCGTAATCGAGGGGAAAAAATTTTAATGAATTCAGTGAAATATCGGCTTCACAAATTTTTTCACGTTGTAGCGATAATAATAACTTGGCGTGAAACAAAAACAAAAGTAATTATATATGCAACTATCTGGTCAATAGTTATATTGAAATTTAGAGAAAATTACTGGTTATGTGTTTCATATCATATCAATCTAATCGTTATCATTTAATATAAATTAGCATAGTAAATAAATATAATTGCTCAAAATTTATCCAACAGTAAACAAAAAAAAGAAAATATCACTTTCCGATTAACCGATTATCCGATTCACAAGCGTAGATGGCACAAATGTATTAAGAAATGGATGAGAAACGAATAGAAAAGAAAAAACAACAAAAAACTAGCCGCAGTGTAGTTAGTGATAATGATAATGGCCCACTGATGGAATCGGTAGAATCGGTTAACCGGAATATACCGAAGAAATATGTAATGATGATTTGACACCTCAAAAATTACAAAAAAATACGAAAATCTAAGCATTCGCTCGAATTCGAGTGAAAAATATGAGTCGAAAATTCATATTTTTCAGAACCTTATGAATAAGAGCTAATGAATAAAACGAGTCCAACTGTTCACAGACAATCTCAATAGTCATTTCATCACGAAATAATGCACCGCTAAAATCCTAATTTTTTAAAATAATTCTAATTCTTTGCCCGTACGCCAATAACCCTTTGAAATTTATATAGCATTTCAATTCAATCATACGGAATCAATTGACATTTGTGGCCTTATAATAATGCTTTTTCTAATAATAAGGCTGATCAAGATCGTAAAGCTTCCAACTGGCGAAGCGTGACCAGTTATCCATTTGAGTTAAATATGCATCATTTTCTATGTTACCATAAGGTCCTGCATGTTTGAAAATTCCGCGCCGTTCCTCTTCAGCTCGTTCCTCACTTTTAAGAGAATAATTCTTCCGACCATTAGAATCCCAGTATTGCTCTATTGCAACACCTAAACTTTTTTTATTATTCCAATTATGATTAACTGCAAAAAGCGAAAAAAGGAATGATTTTGGCGATAAAACGAGGATTGTAACGCCATAATAGTGGAAAAATAATTTGTTGCAATTTTTTGCATGGCAACTTAAGTAATTATTTTAGTTTCTTAAATAGAAAAATATAAAAAAGCATAAACCGTTTTCATCCAAAACTTCGAAACAAACACAAAATTCGATATGTGCATTGTCCATTTCTTGATCAGATGGAATTTCGAATTCAAAACCGAATGTGTCAATGAGGCGTGAAGACGACGACATATATTTAGCTTCATGATCAGTGTAACTTTGCCATTCATTTGTTGTAACTCGAATAAATACGCGTTTTTCAAATGCTATATTTTTGACCTGAAATTTTAGCCTTCGTATTCAATGTAAAATTGGCAATTAAAATCATTAGTTACATTGTCACCAAATTGGAAAACTTTGAAAAAACTAACTTTAATGGTGCCAGCTAATCGATGTTCTTCATTCTTCAATCGAACATTTTCCAAAGCAATATTGTCTTTTGTAACTTTCTCACGGAAAATTACATAATCGCTGGCCGGCTGAGTAAAAGTTGGAGTCCATGTAGCGGGTAACTTTGAATCGTTTTCATCATTCTCAGGAAGCCCACGATATCGGCGCAAGATCTAAAATGCCTTTTTACCTTTTTATCCTAACGTACTAAATTAGTCCTAGTCAAATATGCCAGTTGTTTCGTTGTCCAGCAAATAAGCAAGCAAAGACAAAAGTTACATTCATGATATAAGCTACAATAATTATATTGAAATAAACCTGGAAACTTACTTTTGGATTGATCTTCGGTGGAAAATCTGATGGTTCAGTCATCTGTTTAATAATATATAGTGTGCCTCCGCAATCATCGGCAAAACGAACAGATTTATTTTTAGACTTCTTTATAACTACAGTTTCAAGTGTTATCTGAGCTATGGCTCCAGTAATCAGCGACTCATCTTTGTTTTCTTCAGAATTTTCAGATAATTCCACTAAACTTTCAACGGTTTCCTCAAATTCGCTGCCAGAACCATCAGTTTTTAAGTCATTTATTTCATTATTATTGATTTCCAAATTATTAAAATTGATATCAATCAATTCATCTTTGTTTGAAACTTCTAAAATCCAATCAATAGGTTGATCCGAATTCTCATTTGAACCTTTTTCATTAGTAATCACATCATTTGAACTTGAATCATTTGGATTTAAGTTCAAATTTTCATGAGTTTCCGCAATTTCATTTGCTGGATTAGAAGAAACTTCGATTTGCCTATTCGATTCATTTTGAATTGCTGATTCTTTAGCGGCATTTGTGAATCTTTGCGCCAGTTCGTAAGGATCAGCTGAGACTGTCGTTATAACTGAATATATAATGAATGCCTCAAATAAAAAAAAATAATTTGATAAATAAGAAAAAACAAAGAGCCAAAGTTCCAACTGGAATTTATTGCCAGAATTATCTCTATTCGCAGTTTAGAGAAAAAAAAGTAATTTTTGTAAAAATTAGAAAATCGAGAAAGCCAAGCGATACATTTCGTGATTGGTTTCGATGAAACAATAGTAGGCAACTGTCGAATTATCTCGAATTTGCCAACGATACCATTTGTAAATGGTATAGTAATTCCAGTAAATACTTCGGATTCACTTTTCGAGCGAACCTTAATTAATAACTAAGTAATATTCTTCAATAAACAGTCGAACGCAAGTGAAAAATTCTTTATGTGTGAAAAAATAAGATTTGCAAAAAAAGAGAAAAATTATTTTTTAATTTTACTTGCAATTTATTCGATCTCGTTATTCGATGATTGTTGACGACTGGAAAGGACGAAGCTCTGCGGCAAACCACGTTACACAAGGACGATGATGCTGAATGAGTTGAGCCTTAAAACAAATTACTGAACTTAAGGAATCTGAATAAATGCAGAAAATGATAAATTTTACAAAAAATTATTAAGGGAATTTATACTGAAATTTTAAAAATTATTTACGAAATATTGCTTTTTAAATTCAAATATTTTTACCGAAATAGTATATCAAATGTTAATGAAATTCGTAAAATCATTAAATCATCACTTTTACTTTAGAAAAATCAATTTATTAAGAAAATTTACCATTTACCCAAAGATCTGTTAAATCACTGCGTACAGCGCATTCCATATCGTCCACTGAAAATATTTTTTCAGTTATGAGAAAAACGTTTAAATGCTTGAGTAAGCGATTTGTAAAGCTGTTGCAAACTTAAAATGTAAAGTATAGCGAAAGTAAAACAATTTATCATTCGAAGAAAAATAAAAAATTTATATATTAAATTATTTATTAAATTTATTAAATTTATATTAAAATTTAAAAATTTATTTTATTTTTACACAAATTTATATAATTTTGATTTAATTTATAGTTTATATATATATATATATATTTGTTAAATTTGTTTTTTATTATAAAAAATAAATTCTGTGAGGAGAAAAATTAAAAATTAAAAAATGGAAAAGAATAACTAATAAAATTGATATTACAAAACTAATATTAATATTTCTTAGAAACGAAAAAAAAAGAAATTATGGAATCACTAAATGGGAATAAAGTAATAAAATGAGAATTATAACATTAATAAAAATTTAAAAAATCGAGCAAAAGATTTTTAGCAAAATTGCCACTTTAATATTTTCACACAAAATCAAAATTATGTTTTCCTCGATTCCGTATGGTTTTTTTCGTTGTTTTTTAAGTCGCCAGTAGAAGAAAATAAATCGAAGCAAAATCAGCAAACTTGCAAAATCATCGTTCTTTTTTAGGTCACTTATGTGCCAAAATTAGCGAAAACTTATGCCATTTAAGTTATTTTCAAAGCAAAAATGATAATTCCTGAATTAGTAAATTAAATAAAATTTAAAATCGTACAGCTGATAATGATAAGAGAGAAATAAAAGAGGTTTAGTAATGAAAATAAACGTTCAAAATAAAAATAAAAGGTCGATTATTCCTAATGCACATTGAATTGTCAGCAGTCACAAAAGCATAAAAAGTATAATAAATAATAAAATTATTTTGATAACAATAAAAATAAAATTGACGCATTTTTGAGATATTACAAAAAAGGGCATTTAAAAAAATTTTTCGCGATGTGCTGTTTATAAGCAGACGATTTACGACAATAATAAGTTTATTAATACAGCCGAAGCAACTTTTGTAGAAATTTTATACGAGAAACTTCCATCGATTGGACTTTGACAGTAATCGAGATTTTATTATTAGTAGTAATTTCAATTATACCTGAGATTACTCGAAAATATCAAAGAAGGAACGAAAGAACGCATCGACTGACGATGGATTTCGATCCTGAATAGCCAAAAAGATAAACTATAATCTATATAATTAAAACATTTTGTATTGCGCGGCCAATTCAATATAATTTTAGAAATCTATAATTTTAGAAAAATTTATTCTTAGAATTTTATTCATATTGCTAATTCATATGTTAATATATATGTAGGTATTTTACATATATATTATGCCAATTCATATTTACATAAAATATATGTATATTACGTTTATATATATATATATATATATATATATATATTATATTATATCTGAGAATTTGGAAGTGTGAGCCCTAAATTAGAAAAATAGCTTGCATTTCATTAAATTGTTTCGTTTATTTTAAAAATTAAGTGATTAAAAAGATTCTGGAAGTAATACATCTCATTTCAAGTTCCCACTAATAGTGCACACAATTGCTGGCCTGGCTGGCACCACTGGAAGAAAGAAGTATATGTGAGTGCCAACCATCAGATTTTGCTTTTAACAATAGATTTATCGTCAAAGAATAGGATTGGAATCTATGCTGACCTTAGTCGAAACAATCTGACATTTCTGATAACAAAAAGCATAACTGAATGAACTAGAAGTGCTTATCATTAGACTCGTGCCGCTCGATTATCCGATCAGATAAATCAGATAGATAAATTAGCGAGTCACTTGCTAATAGAAGTACATATGAGCGGTCAGCAGTACTCACTTGTTTTTTTGAAAAACCAGATTTACTCGTGCCAACACGACGATCGACATTCCGAAAGGAGAAAGATCAACAAGCATTCTACTGAGCCACTCTTACCACATTCAAAGTGAACTAATGCAACAAAATAAATTCTTTAATATTTAATTCTTTAATTCTTTAACAAAATATTCCTAGCAAATGCACAAGGCGAATAATTTAACAATGAATAATAAATAAAATATGTTATTTGAATAGAAAGGCTTTTAAATTTGAGAGGATTGTGAAAGGTACTATCTGTCGATAAACAGAAAGGCCTATCATGAGGGGGAATAAAAAACACTGCAAAAAATGAAAACAATCATGAAATATTTTATGTCAACAATCAAAGCGAAGCTTATTTTGATTGACTGCGAGAAATAAATTTCTATTCGCGAAATGTTAATTGCATGCAACGAAATTTAATAAAAGAAAACAAAACGATTGTTAATATCTAAAATATTCCAATTCCTCGAATATTTCTTATTTATTACTTAATATAAATATAATTTATATCATCATTCTAAGTAAATTTCATAGATTTAGGGGATCCAAGAAAATCAAAAATAATATTTATTTTATATAAATTATAATAATTGTAAATCAATAGAAGATTGCTCACGGATTTGGCACATCGAAAGTCGGAATCTCGATTTTCGAGACGATAATATAAAAACTCTAACCACGCAGCCATCTTTTTTTTTTATGCAATATGCAATAGAAAATTAGAAAATACTGGAAAACTAATTTTCGAGAAAAATTAAAACAATCTAATCCATTGCTAAAGGAATGTAAAAATATAAGGTTTAGAAATAAAAAAGATAATTTTGGTATTATTTAAAAAAATAGCAAATCAAATATCGAATAATATTCCTAAAAAAATATTTTATTAAATCAAATAATTTTAATTTTAATTCGTTTTCGGTAGAAAATATATAAAATAGGCGAAGGAAAGATAGAATAACAGTTGTTCTAATGCATTTCGATTTTAATCAGTTGATTTCCTTCGTAAATGATTAAAATAACATCGTTTAGAATTTTAATATTAATAAAATTTTGCATGAGTTTTTTTTGCATTTTCAAAAATTATTTGTCTAAAATTTATTGAAAAAATAATTCTATCTGAATGAATCAAATGGAAAAGATGCTCAAATCAATACTATGCATGGAGAGAAAAAAAAGGAAAATTATGAAAATGTCCTAAAATTCTAAAATTCTAAGTTTTTGATAAATTTTGATAAGAATATTAAAAAATATCAATAAAGTATAAAGTATAAGAATCTCGTTGCGCGACGCAAAAAGGAGTCATTTTTTATTAAAAGTACAAAATATCGAGAAAAAATATCGAGAAAATTCACATGAAATTCAATAAAACTAGTAATTTGCGGTAGACATTTCTACAGTTTTGGTGAATTTCATTGTGGATTTAAAGTTGATTAATGTTTTTTCACCAACGACCGTTCCACTAAACTTGGTTTTTTTCAACTTTTTTTTAAAAAATTAACTAGTTAACCTAAACTAATACGAGAAAATAATAACGAAATATGGATATTCATAGGCTTTTTTTGGACAAATGAAATATTTAAAAAAATCTTAAAAAATCTTAAAAAATACTGATGAATTAAAATAAAAACAAGTTTTAGTAATAAGCTGGCCAAGCAAAACTATCTTTCAAAAATCCTGGCTTATCTATGTTTGTATATTTTTTTTGCTAAATGATTCCTAAAGATTTGTTTGGCCAGCGATAAGCCAGTGCAACTAGCTTGGCCAAAAATGATGTATGAACACTCTAAGAAAAAAAACAAGGTTTAGAAAAGAAAATAAATAAGTAAGCCAAAGATTTTTTTTTGTAAATTGTAATGCTAGCAATTTTTGGAAAACACACATGAAATATTGCAAAAAAACTGAATAAAAATATGAAAAATTCAATAAATTTTTCAATATTTACAAAACATGGAAATATGTGAAAAAAATGAGAAGAGAAACGTTAAATTTATAGAATTTCTTTTCTATACAATTAATCTAATTCAAAATTTGGAAATTATTGTTTTAACAAAAAAAAATTCATATATTTAAAAATTAATTTTTAATTTTTAATTGTAATTTTGCAGTTGAAATATAGAATTTTTATTTTCCAAATTGTTCTTGCATAAATAACTAAAGAAAAAATCATAGAATAATTTTTTTTATCGAAAATCAAAATACGCTTTTCGTTGGTTCATTAATGATTGGAAAAAATAAAGCGATTAATGAATAAGCGGCAAGTACTTATCATTAGTTGCTACGATTAGAAATTTTTGCTAAAGAATTATTTGAGGTTGGAAAGATTAGAAAGGTTCAGACGAGTCGGCCAGCAATATTCGAAATTCCTTTCCTTTTTAAGTTTGGTTCTATTGGTGACAGCTTGAACCGTCACCGCTACACCGATAATCTCCCGCATTTCCTGCTTCTTATTATTAAAAATGATTAAAACCTATAAAACTTCAAGATAAAATATTAAAATTTGCATAGAAAAAAATTGCCGTAGTATCGAAATTTCGCTTTTTTTTCATTTTATTGAATAATTAAGGAATTTCAAAGATCGAAAAAATTCCTAAAAAATATTTTATTTAAAATATATCAAGCGACCGACTCGATTGGAAATTATTTTTTTCACCATTTAATAAATATATATCCACGAATTTTCTCTTCTCCCTCCCTTAAAACCTCAATTACAATGAATAAATCATCGACGACGACGTTTCATCAACAACGAAAAATGTGAAAAGTGAAATAAAATTTTTTTCCAGTAACGTCGTTTCGATAAGCATTTGATGATGAAGAAAAAAAAA